CTCGGAGCTGTTTCCTTCACATGCTGCGGTAGCTGCTTTTTTGGATCTTGGGCTCATGGACACGCATCAACAAGAATGGCCGCAACCGGCTTTCATTCCTTGGACAGACATCGATGTGGACCAATGGCATGCGAGCATTCCTGTCGGTTCGCCTTGGGGAGATGATCTGACTAAAGATTTTGGGGCCTGGGCGCGGCGCTTTGAGGACTCGTTAGATGGCTTTGTTGGCCATAGGCGTCAAGCACTTCCTCGTGCATGCAAGGGACGAGGAAACAGGTTGCACACCAGTTCCAGACCGGTCATGCCAAGGCCATTGAGGTCTAGCAGACATGGGGAGGTTGTACAAAGTCATTCCTTTTTGGGGAGAAAGACCAATCAATGGTTTCGTCAGCTGAGGAGGTTGCAGGCTTTGTGCCAGTCGCTGAGGGCGGCCAATCAGAGTGTGAATGCTCAGGTTTATAGAACCCAGCTCTGGAGAAGCATCTTGAGGGCACCTGGCTTTGCGCATGGTTTTCCACAGTGGTGGCAAACAAGACCACATCAGTTGCCTTCCTCACCAGACACTGTGTGTGTAGGGCCACCTTGTTTGTCCTTGGCGGAATTGTATTTTGCTGATTTTGAGGCTAATTATCGTTTTCTAGAACATGAACATGCTCAGAAGCGAACTCTAGCTCTCAAAAGCAAGCTGGACACAGATGATCAGGCCATTTTTCGCTTGTTGAGGAAACCTTTTGCTAGCCAGCTGGAGGTTCTGCAAGTGGATCATGTTACCACGGTCCAGCAGGTGCTTCCGCATTTTGGTGTTATGCTACACCAAGATCCTCCGGCAAGGGCATTTAGCCATGCTCTGGATAATGAGCCGGTCCGTCTTCAATCTCTTTCGACTGGAGGCTTTCAAATTGATGGGGAGACCTTGTTATTTGAAGGGCAGACTCTATGCTCGACCAGTTTTCTTTGGAAAGGTGAAGAGATTGCTGAGGAACTTATCAAGGACTGGAGTTCACGCTGGCTCAAACATGCTCCTGATGATTATGATCAGTGGCAAAGGGTTGCTGGATTTGTAAAGAACTTCATGCCGAAATTTCCCATCGTTGCTGCACCTCTGACCGTCGATCTTTGGAGGCTGGCACTCAAAGGCTTTCGAGCCAACTCAGCTCGAGGACCGGACTCTTGGTGTCGGGATGATTTGTTGCACATGTCGCCACACCATCAGCGGGAGCTTGTGGCATTGCTGGCACAGGTGGAATTGGGCCGTCCCTGGCCCGATCAGATGATGCAGGCGATTGTGGTCCTGTTGAGGAAGCATGAGGCTGCTCGCCCAGTTGGCGAGTTTCGCCCTATCTCCTTGCTATCCATGATTTACAGGGTTTGGGGCAGCATCCGCACCAAAGAGATGTTGTCCCAATTGGAAAAATATGCTGACTTTCACACGTATGGCTTCTTGCCAGGCCGTAGTGCTCTCCAATACTACTACACGGTGCAGGTGGCTCTGGAATTGGCTTTGCAGTCTGGTGAACCGTTGCATGGTTATGTAGCGGACATTGTTAAAGCTTTCAACCACATTCCCCGGTACCCGGTGTATGTGATGGCGGAGCAAGCAGGTGTCCCTGGACAAGTTCTGACTCCATGGAAAGCGGCTCACAGCCAGCTTAGACGCAGATTCAAAGTGAGACAATTTGTGTCCCGAGAAGTGGCTTCAACCACAGGCATGCCAGAAGGAGATCCGCTTTCGTGCCTTGGCATGATCCTTTGTGACTTCTACTTCCATTGCTATTTCTCGAGGTATTTGCCTTCGATCCATGTGTTCAGCTACGTTGACAACCTGTCTCTGATTTCGACACAGGCCCCATTGCTGGTGCAGGGGGCACAGGTTTTCCAAGTTTGGCTCCAAACGCTGGACTTGTCGCTGGATCACAAAAAAAGCTATGGGTGGAGCACTTGTCCACAGGCTCGGAAGACTCTGGCTGGAAGTGGCTTCACTATCCGATATGGGGCTCGAGACCTGGGAGCACAACTTCAGTATGGCACCAAAGCTCAGGTGTCATCCAGAGATGAAAGACTTCGCTCTGTCCAATCTGTATGGGCTGTGCTGGCTCGCTCTGGCATTAGTTTAGAGCAGAAGGTGAAGGGCATTAAGCAGGCCATTTGGCCGAGAGCGCTCTTTGCGTCATCGGGAGTTTATGTGCCAGCAAATGCCCTGATGACACTTCGCTCCGGAGCAATGCGAGCGCTCCGAGTTGCACGGGCGGGAGCGTCACCCATCGTCCGGCTTGGCATGTTGCACGACCCGGAACTAGACCCAGACTGCTGGCAGTGGAAACAAGTACTCCTAGACCTCAGACAGATGGTGAGAAAGACTGAAGGAATTTTTGCCGCATGGAATAGGTTCATTGATGGCTACGACGGCATTCGCCAGCCTGGACCTTTCTCCAAAGTGCTTGAATTCTGTGGTCAGTTCGACTGGCACATCGGTCGTGATTTTCGGGTGCAGACACCAGAGGGCTTTTGCTTTGACCTAGGCAATCTTGCTTGGGAGGCGCTTGAGAGGCTTTTTCTAGATGCATGGTGGCTCAAACAGACCCGTTCCTTGCACCATAGGTGGGACTTCGCTGATCTGTGTGGTTTCAACTTTGAATTGAGCTCCCAACGTCACTGGACAAGCTCTAAGCAAGAGGACGCCTTATTGCAGACTTGTCAAGATGGCAGCTTCTATACGGAGCAGGCAAAGAGTCACTGGGACGCTACAAAGCAACCACTGTGCCGATACTGCGCTGCTCCGGACACCATCACGCACAGATTGAGGACCTGTTCCAAACATGCGGATGTTCGACAAAAGTTCCCGGAGCTTCACAGCAAATGGAACAGTTTACCTGTTTGCCTCACACATCATGGCTTGTGTCCTAGGCTGGGTACTCAGTCGGAGTACTGGAAAAGTTTATTTGAACTCCCAGATCTTACAGGTGACTTCCAGAGCTCAGACCGTTCCGTCCGTCACGTTTTTACGGACGGCTCGTGTCATTATGGCAAACAGCCGGCGCTTGCGTTGGCTGCGTGGGCGCTGGTCTCCCCCACTGAGGTACTAGCTGCTGGCCCTGTGCCAGGCCTCGTCTGCGCTGAACTTCTAGCATTGCTGGCGGCGGCGGAGTATGCCACACAACTTTCGCATCAACTGCACGTGTGGCTCGACAGCCAGTGGGTTCATGACACCTATTTGGAGATTCTCCATGGAGCCTCCCCGGAGGACTATGCTCATGCAGATCTTTGGTGGAGGGTTTTACAGCTCTCTGACAGTTTGCCATGTGCCATGGAGCTACATAAGGTCTGGAGTCACATCCCGGCATCCTGGGCTGATGGGCCTTTCACTGAATGGTGGTGTAAGGGCAACCAACACGCGGACACAGCTGCGAATATGGCTAATGCGGGTAGATCCCAAGATTTTTGGAACACTCGCGCTGCCTTTGTTCAGGAGTGGACAGAGTACCAGCGCCTTTGTCGAGCTAGCCAAGAGCAGTTGCTAGCAGTGGCAACATCCCACGAAGCTGTGTCTGATGCTGAAGCTCAAGAAAACCAACCTCTGAGTGCTTTGCTTCCCCACCGTGCAATGCAAAGTGCACAACGCATGTTTTGTAGCTTTTTCACCCTTGAGCGGAGTTTTGAGCTGGCTGCTACGAAGACAGCATCCCGTTTTGGATGTGAAATTGTGACCTCGGTTTTTCGGTTTCTGAGTTTTTGTGATTTTGATGCGGAGGAAGAAGGCCTTATTTCACATCTTGAACTCTATTTTGGGTGGCGCTTGGCCACTCGTTCACAGTTGCCAGTGGAGGATCCAGTGACCAAGCGCTGGATCAACCCTCGACATGTTTTGGCTGACGCTTTTACTAAGACTTTGTCGGTAGATCTTGCTGTTTTTAGGGGGGTTGTTGCTGGGGTTGCTAGAGAGCTTGGTTTTTCGTTAGGTAGGGGGTTCGTTGATTTGCCGCATGTTTCGGTGTACCGACGGATGTCAGCGATTCAGCTTGGTTGGCCAGCCGCCATTTCTGAGAGTGTGACGGCCAATTTGGCCACACACTTTGCACAGAAGCCTCTGAGACGGACCATTGATATGGCCAGGAGGGTGGGTGATTTGGTTGACGATGGTGTTGTTGAGTGGTATGGAACGTCGAGGAGCGATGAAGTGGTGGGCTGAGTGAAGGGACAATGCTTCCCCTCCGACTTCACTGCCTATGAAAGGCCGTGACGGACAGGGACCGCAAGTCGCGCTATCATTGTCTGATCATCTCATTATCGAACGACATCGCAAAACACACGTGTCACTTCTAAAATCAAGCCCTAAGAGTTACACAGGTCTCTACCTAGTCAAAGATTTGGACCTCTAAAAAACAAACAAATACCCAAACTCAATGGATCTAAATCGATTAGGCAAAGCCGGCAAAGCGAGTGAGAAGCAATTAATTGAACGCTTTTGGGGTGAACATGAACTCGCAAAGCAGCTGGGTGGTCTCCACAAAGGAGACACCTGAGTGGCTGGATCCGCTCCCGGAAGCAATGAGCTATTCACAAGCCTTCATATACTCCAAACACTCCCAAGTGGAGTTCATATATACGGTGCTTCTATGGTTCTATTATGAGCTGTAATTTATTGGATGTCTGTAATTTATGAGCTGCTTCTGTTATGCGGAAATATGCGGAACAGGATGGAACTGCTGAGGCGTTCAAGAAGTGGTGCGGAACTCGGCATCTCACACACCTTGGAAGTCAAGTGCATTGTTTACCTTGGCAGGGAAATCTTCAAGGCATCTCTTAAAGTAAGACACATTCCTCCATGACTACAGATCAATTCCCTGAAAAGGCTATATCGTTCGTGTGGAAACACAGTCTGTCACAGACGTCGACCAGCGTCGTCTCACCCGTGCAGACGATGACCCGAGACGTCGACCACCCGTGCAAACGTCATGTCCAGTCACGTCTCACGTCGCTCTCACGTCGCGCCCGAGGCCGTCCTGTACTGAATCCCTTCAGGATCTGGATGCTCAAAGCCTGGCGCCCGCTCACCATCCGGACCGACTGTGGTGGTTGAAGGCACGGTACGTACGGATGGTAGCCCATCCGGGTAAGCTAGATAGGGCGAAGGGGCCGCTGATGGGTTTTCGGATGGATCGTCAGGATGATCAGTGCTCCAAGAAAACCGTGTTTTGAAGACAACAGTGACAAGGAGAAGAAGTGTCTTAAGGCATGTCTTGGCGACGCTCCCGGGAACCTGGACAACATATTCATATTTATATATACCCTACAAGTCCAGTCTGACCCAGTAAAACCTGGTCTTTTCGGTCTTTTACCTCCTTACGTATTGGTTTTGTATGACCATTCCCAGTAAAATGAGGTCGAACTGACTTGTAGGGTATATGTATTTCATATAAACATCTTCATCGAGGCTCCGTGGTTTGGTTAAGGGTCTGATGGGCAGGAAGGCCAAGAAACAACCACAGGAAGGCTATAGGGTATCTCAAAGTTGACCTGTAGCTCTTTCATGAGCAAAATGCTTTACTCTAAACACCGACATACCCAGATTTCTCTTCCAAAACTTCTTCGTCAAACCTTGTTCTTCAGGCTTCAAACCAACGACATGAATTCGAAGAAAAACCATCAGCAGCATCCTCTATCCGGTCGTCCCCACGTGCGGTCCTGCCCATTGATGACTGATGAAGGCGACACCCTCTTCCTTACAAAGGTCTGCCGCCACTTGTGGTTGGTCGATGAAGCCTTGGTCCAGCTACACCGGAGCTCGGTCTTCATCTGTCGTGTCTTTTTCACACAAGGCATGGTTAAAGAGTCGGCAATGAAAACGAATGAGTGTGTATCAAAGCCTAGGGAGACCTCCTAAAGACACCCGGAAAGAAGGACAATTTCCAAAAACCATTGGTTGGGTGTCTCCGTATTCAAAAAAAACTCTCAAATGGTGAGGGTATTAAAAAAAATACTCAGGTTCGGGTCTAGATGGAATTTGTGCATTCAACTCGCATGTTGTCCATTTCACCTCTATATTAATAAAGGAATTACATTTTGCGGTATCCACACCCAATAAGTATACATAAGTAAAGCTTTGATCCTGCTCTAAGTTTCAATTGTTCCTCGTTGGTATCCCCGTCTCCACAGTTAAATTCAGCAATGCACGTCTTTTGCTCACCATGCTAACCGTCCTTCTCACTAATCAGTGTATAATTGATTACTCAGAACCTGTTACACCTTTGATATCTTGAATACCCCCAAGTCTACTAAAAAGCAATTCAAAGGGTCCAAGCTTTCTTAAATGTGTTCAAATTCGTAAAAACTATTGTCTCCATTCCTGGTTCTTCCGTTCTCTAAAACCAAGAAAACCAACACGAGCTCCAGGACCTGCTCCGGGACCAACCGACCACCGAGTCCGAGCTGCACAGCTTCCGGGCTTCGCGCGCGTCCTCATGGCGGATCAAACGCCCTAGGCCGAGGAAGTCCTGCAACTTCAGAAGGCCTCGTGGAAAGGAACGATGCCTTCAATGTGGGTGTTCGTTTGATGTCATCAAACAACCAAGGGCCTTAAGGGTGTTACATAGCCACGGGTAAGGGATCAAAATAAAAATAAAAATGGATTCAAAAAAAAATATTCAACGGGGATCAATAAAAAAAATAAAAAGGTAATCAAAAAAGTAATATTCTAGCCCACTGAGGATGGTTGGGGTAGTAGTAGTAGTAGCAGTAGCAGCAGCAGCAGCACCAGCGTAGCAGTAGCAGCAGCAGTCAGCAGCAGCAGCAGCAGCACCAGCAGCAGCAGCAGCAGCAGCAGCAGCGCAGCAGCAGCAGGAGGAGGAGTAGTAGTAGTAGTGGTAGCAGTAGCAGTAGTCACGGCGTTCACACGAAGTTAGGCCCTACATGGCGTTGTCAGAGCGCTCGGAGACAGAAGGACTAGGATACCAGGGGACCAGCGGACCACAGGACCAGAGGACCAGGAGACCGGAGGACTAGGGGACCAGTGGACTAAAGGACCAAGGGACCAGGGGACCAAAGGACCAGTGGACCAGAGGACCAAGGGACCACATTACCAGAGGACCCGCAGACCACAAGGCCAGGAGAGCAGCAGAAGAGGCCTATCAAGGAATATTTATTTTTTGATTCGCTTTTTTTTTGTTTTGATCCTGTTTTTATTTTGTTTTTGATGCTCTGTTTATTTTATTTTTGATACCTATGCCGTTACATAGCTAGTGTTTTTGTTTGTGGTTTTTATTTTTTTCGTTTGTTTCCCTGGCCTGGCCTACGTAATTAATAAAATCTCCAACCAGGTAACCAAGGGTGTTTTTGTTCGAGTTTTTTTTCGTATCGTTCCCTGGCTGGGGGAGAGGTGGTGAGGGACAGGAGTTTGCCACGGGGGCCCAGAGGGGCCGAGATGGAGAGGCGCCGGGCGAAAACGGGCCCTCTTCGACGAGAGTCTGAGAGGAACTGGGGAAGGAGAGGTGAGGTTTGTTCAGGAAAGATGAGAGCATGAAACAGTTTGACACATGGTGAGGTATGATGTCACATGGGTTTGGATCCAATTGTTTTAAGTGAAATACAATGATTTATTGCAAAGTATGGGCAGTGGATTTGGGTGAAACACCTGCAATCTTGTGAATCCCCCCAAGCTTCCGTAGATTGGTGGATACATGAGACCAAACAAATGGGGCTGAAGATGCTTGAAGGTTTCTAAGAGGTTATGTCAATTCAGTCTTTTCAATCCTGGTGGAAACCTTCCAAAGGGGAAGCCATCAGTTTGGATCCAATAGAAACCCAAGCTATGAACCCACGCCCACCCAATCAAACCAATAGAACCGCAACAGAACACCAATCCAACGCGCCGTGTCATTGCTGGCGCCGCCGCGGATTGGGGTCCCCAGCACATGGGAAATTGAAGCAAATTCAAGTTCGAAATCGACCTCGGCGCGAAGGTGCCTGTCGGCATCCCTTGAGGAGATATCCCAAGGCAGACTAAGGCTAAGACGCCTAAGTCACCCCAATGCGATCCCTTGTGACGACGTCTGCCTTTGCTCAAAGGAAATCGCGAGGTGGGGGCCAGACATGCATAAACCAAATCGTAGGTGCTTCATGGTCTGGAACTTGTAGACTCCAAGAGAAAAACAACCCTCTAGAGTCCAATTGCTTAAAGGCTTACTGTGGCTTACTTAGCTTGACCTGCTCCTCTGCTCTTGATGGAGCACTGGAGCGACTGGACTGGTAGACTGGGAGGCAACATGTGCCTCCCATAGTGCTCATTGGACCCGTTGCACCCACCATTTCCTGTGATCGACTGGGAGCCGTATTTTGCTCTCCACCCACCCGCTCCACCCGGCTTCGCTCCACCCGCTCGCTCCACGCATCCGCTCTCCACGCCAAGCTGCGCGAGGATGGTTCGCGAGATCCTCGGTCGAAGCGGTCTGGGACCGTCCGTCCCGTCCGTCGGGGGCGGGACGCGACGCGACACGAGGGTCGAGAACCGGAGCGAAAGAACGTGACGAACTGGGCGAGTGTTCTCTGCTCGAAGCACGAAGCTCGAGGCTCCCGAGTGGTGTTTTGACACGATCGGCTCTGGCTTGGTGCCCGGCATTGGACAATACTAAGGACAAAAAACGATGTCCAACAATATGATAGTTACATATATTATATATACTAGACCTTAGTGGATTGGAGAGCAAATTAGACATAGATGAAGATCAATGTTGGACGCCCCAATGGCCAATTCTGGCATGGGTTGATTGCTCGATCAATTGCATTGGGGAATGCCCAGTAGTTGTTAATTTGCTTTCCTAGCTGTTTATACAGTACCTAGGTTACCTAGTCCATTCGGGTTGCCCTCACTAACCTTTTTGAAAATAGGGCTTCTCCTTCTTGGACAGTGCTGTATCTCAATTTGCAAGTACATGTGGGTCAAAAACCCTGGTGGTTACATACCATCAAGAGTTCATTAAAAACAAAAATCACACATAAAACAAAACCCTTTGAACAACTATATATAACAACTACTATGACCATTAAAGCACAAGTAAGTCAACATCCTGGACCAGTGGATGAAGCTTCACCAACAAAATATCGGCTCAAGGCTCCTTCAATTTTACAAAACCAACAACAACAAATAACAACAACAACATGCATACAACAAACAACATATATAATATGGACCATATCCTAGATCGATCAATTCCCAAGAATGGCTCAACTTAAGTGAGAGTCGAGTGAGGTGACGTCTGTTTGGTTCGGTTCTGCTGTCCAACGTCCCATTTTTGTGTGGGCTATGGATGGTCATTCCAACAAGTTCATCGCAAACAAAGTCGAACAAATGAAGCAGAACTTCATTCGGCCGGAAACATGCACAGAAGAGAAGAGGAAAAACATACTTCATGTATCAACAATGCAAAATATAATGGATATATACTATATAACTCCTTTGCTTTGTTATGGTAGCTGACATCGAAGAGGGAACACGTCTGTGCTCAGCGTATTTCTATGGCTCTTCCAGGTCGTGTCGGGAGGTCTCCAGTCAAGAAGGCGGTCGTGTTGACCCGGAGATCTTATTGGGGCCCCAAACAAACAAGAAAATAAGAAACATTAAAGATATTGACAGATCAAATGTAAGTGAAGATTTACCAGTTCCTAGTTGATCTCCTCAGAATGTTCTCCCAACAAATCACCCATCCAAGACCCCACACTACTTGTGGATGTACATGGGACACCACTTGGATGGTCCAGGTATGTGTTTCGTTCATCTCCCTTAAACTGGGCAATCGAAAACACAAAATACATCCATCCACACGAGGTACGCCAAAATCAACCCCAAGGCCTCCAGTCGTACCTTCGTTTCGGTTCGGTGGGACTGGGGGCCAACATGCACGTGCACAAAACACTGTGCGAGGAGACCTCCACCGAGGTGCACTTCGCGTCGATACTCTTCCAGCTTGATGATCCTGAGATGCTGGCTCGCTGCCATGCGAAGGCTCTTCTGCCCGTGCGGCAAACCGGTTCGAGGAACGGGTGCCAAACGTGACCGAACCGAATGCACATCCGAGCCGATGCACCCAAAACCGGCGCGAAACCGATGAACGGTCGGTTCGAAACCGATGAACGGTCTCCGGTGTGCGGGGATCACTCCGGCTCGGTCGGGTTTTGCGGTGTGCAGAGCTGAGAGGATGGATGAGGTTGGATCGAATCTATTGAAGTCAACCATGGAGTAGTTGTCATGGTTGGTCCATTAATCCCAAAGGATGAGTTGCAAAAATCAACATGAAAATGGTCTGACAAACTTGAATCTTTGGTGGATATCAGTGGATATCATCAATTCTGGACGGGTTTTGCAGTAGGTGAGCATACCACAGTTGGAACTATCAAAAAATATTGCTTGAGCATCGGGCAAGCACGACTGTGGTGTGAGCCTTCAAATGGTTCCTCTGAGGTCAGTGGGTTCCTCTGAGGTCTTGATCACTCACCTCCCTTCAGCACCTCTGAACACGTCGTCGTAGGATGGTAGTAGCATGTAGTAACTACTTTAGGTTCGTGATTCTATAGTGAGGGTTTATCTTCATCAAGTTGGGAACGTAATCATTTGATCTTACTCTTACCTAGCTAGTACTGGTCATCTCTCAGAAAATCGGCCCGGCCACCTCTTCGACTACTCGACTACTCGCTTCCAGTTCTCACCTCCCGAGCATTCTTTTGCACCATTACGCCGTAGTCGCCGTAGTCCAAATACCTCCCAGCCACCCACTCTTCCCTTCTCTGCAAAGCGAAGCCCTCAGCAAAGCACCCCGTTCTTCACCCCTCCCCCCCAACCAAAAGCGTCACCGAAAGCGCGCCCTTGCGCGCCGCGGCGAGACACTGATGCGCCCGTTTCCGCATGGCAATGATGATGTTCACGCCCAGTCCCACGCCCAGCAGCGCCGTCATGGGTACCACGATCTGAGAGCTGAAAGGAAGGCGCGGGAAGGATCGGCGGCGCGGTTGCGGTGATTTTCGCTTGTGGGATCGGTGGAATTGGCTTTTGAATGAGGTATATTTATAATTATATGAAACATCTGGTGATGGATGAAGCATATCGAGAGCGCAGCAAGGAGGCTCCGATTTTAATTGAGTGGGAAAACGTGAAAGGCAAACACGTGTATTGTCCATCATCCCAGGTTCTGCCCCACAAAGCTCGCCCAATGGCCGAAATGAACCATTTATGCCAAGTGCTGATCTCTTTATTTTTGTCCCCGATTCTCTACATGGCTTACCTTTGACCGTCCTCTCCAAGGAAAAAGGCAAATGAACCTCCAGGAGATTCCAGACCCTTTTATTACTAGCTAGTTGCAGAAAAGGATTCCCCGTTAGTACTTGATCTTCAGCCATTTCACCAGTTTCCATATTGCAAGCTGAAAGGTCTAGGCATGTACTGAGCTGTGAATTGTCTTTGGAATTCTGGAGTGTCTACACGTCTAAACGTGCGCCCAAGTAGAGCCTGGAAAGAAAAGATAGAAACATCCTACCAGCACCTTCCTGTCGGGGTCAGGCAGGAAGCCTCCACATTACGTACGTGGATCTCCAGCAAGGACACCCCCACAGGTTGCTCCAGGCAGAACCTGAATGACCTCTTTTTTGAACCACCAACCATCCAAAACAGGGTCTTGTCCTATCAAGACAGGGGTCACTCCTTCTGGGTTCCAGCAAATGCCTGTCTTCTTGGGGTGCTTGATTGCACAGGGATCATGGGCATTTCACAAACCAGTCCTCCACCAGGTCAGGGTTACTTTTTTGAAGCGCCTAACCTGATCGGTCTAGAGACCTCGGGATTTGCCGCACTGGAGGACCCCTTTGAGTCCAAGGTTGACTCTTTGCACATACCCAAACACTCCATGGGACTGGCCATATGGGACTGGCAATGACTGGCATATTGATATAATATTGGGATGGTTGACCTGGGCCCAATTTATAGGCATATATATAGGCTTATATTCTCCATAGATGGAGTATTTGGGATACATTCCTCACCAACCAACGTGAAACTGCACACCGCGCACCTGCAACTGCGCTCCTATGTTCATATGCCCTATTTTTATGACTTCCTGTGCTCAACTGCCTCCCCGCCAACACACACCGGCGAAACGGACAGCGGAATTCGGCGGAATTCGATCACCATCCCAACACCTCGAGCTTGGTGTTCGAAGCTTCCTGTTGTGCCAAGCCGCGAAAAGTTGATTCCAAAAGTCCGCGAAGACCACTGGCCATCCATCACGTGGAGCCACCTGGAGTCAATCTCTCAGGTCTCTGCGTCCGGTCGGACACCGTTTTGGTCTCCCTGACGGGCATCCAAATTCAAGATCCAACAGTTTACGTGTTACAAGAACTCCTCAACCAAGAACGAAACACGGATGATTCATCACTTTCCCCCATCTTTTCCCCAGTGTTTCTTCAGAGATCCCCAGACACTGTTTGCCCTCAGTTGTAACGTACGGTCTACCAGTCCAGCCCCACGTGTGATTTCACGCCTGCAAGAGCCAGCGGATGTTGGCCTCCTCCACCACCACCATGGCCTGCCACGATCGTCGGCGCAGGTGGAATATTTTGGTGGACTGGGAGTTCCACGCCTAAAGGGACCACATTGCAGTGCATATCAGTGCATCTTTTGGAGAGACAAATCCAAGCTCTTATGGGTCGACTGGTCTATCTCATTCTCTTCTTCCAGGGGGTCGGAACGCCGGTGGTTTGGTCTCCGTATTTTTTCGCTACACACTACGACTCAGCTGTGGGAGGTGGATCTTTGATCAGCTGAAATCAGTTCCGAACTCATTCATGAGCTGAAGGGCAATCAGGATCAGTCACCCTTTCCAAGTTTCGTCCACGGTGTTCCAGTTTCCAGGGATCGTTCTTTTCGCGAAATTCCGCCAGTGGTTCACCACTGAATGCTATTCGTTCTTCATGTCCCAATCCACCTCCACCTCCACTCTACCTAGCACCTTCCGAAACAGGTTCCGGACCTCAGGACCGGTCTCAGGACCGCCTGGGAAGCTCCCCCGCCCCACTGGCGGCCTCTACGGGCCGGTCCAGGGCAGCCTCGCGGTCCGAGCGTCCGTAGTACTCCTCGGTGTCGTCGGGCGTGACGGGCGGCGGCGGGGGACGCGGGCGGCGCCCGAAGCTTCGGGCGACGAGGGTTTGGGGAGGTCACAAAGATCCTCTGTCCCGAATGCTGATCATACCCTAGGGCCGCTGTCTATAGGGCTGCTGTCCCATCTCCTCAGTTTCGGTGGTTAAACCCCCAATCCCTCCCCAACCATCTTCTCTGGAGGTGTGCCAGGAGCTCTAGCTCGGGATAATTACCTCGAGGCTGTTGGAGGAATGGGTCATGCCAGTCATGCGGCCAGGCCGTGCTGACACGGTCACAGCTAGTGGCACAACGAGACGATCTCGTGTTGGTGACAGAAACAGCCACCAGGACCTGAGCCGTTCGTGACCTCTTTGGAGTCTCTAAGTGACCTTGTACAGACCTAAGTGACCTCATCCTGGCATATCAAAGGGTCACTTTGAAGGTCCTGGTAGTTTGTGACAGGTTTGCTTTTCATTGCTTCTCACCGTTCTCACTGTTCTGTGCTGTTGGTTGGCCCAGTGGAACCAGGCAAGCACCTTTAGAAGTCGGCATCACCATAACCAGCTGGTTTCACTTCGACCAACAGCGGTTTGGAGGGCCGCCCCCCCAAAAAGGCTTTCACTCTATGAATCAGTGGGGCGGTTGCCTCACCGGAGGCCTCTATAGACCCTGCACCTCCTGGCCCACCTCCGTTTCGAAGGTGGGCCAGGGGTGGGTGGTCTTGGGGGGTCTAACCACCTTCTCAGGTGGGCCAGGAGCCCTAGGGAGAGGTCGTTGATCCCGGTTCCGTTTGGACGAAGGGGCGACCCTCGCGACCCTTCTCGTCTGCCAGAGGGTCCAAACCCGCGACGGTTCGGTGGTCGACTGGGGGGTCGAGCCACCGGTCACCGGGGGGGCTCCTGTAGGGTCAAGTCGCTGACTCGGAAAGTGCCAGGGCTGGGGAGATTGGTCTATTCAACACATAAGTCCCACATGGTGAGTCGATGGGGGTGAGTCGATGGATTCTTCTCATGTCAGGATCTTTCGGGGGGGTCTGTTCACACCCACATTTCAACGCCAAACAAACATACAAAACGTGTTGCTTTTGGTGCAACAATGTCTTCCTCAAATCCCTTGCAGTACCAGTTCCCCCCAAAGGACTTGTCCAAAAACGCCCAGGCGCAACTGGAGGGTCTGCACGGGTATCCGTGAGCAGGTAATGAAAGGAGGTGAGCCCAGACAGGCCTCGGAGCATGCCGCGGGGGTTGCCAGCGCGGCGGACGTGCGCGGACGACCGTGTCTTCCATCGGGCGCGCGGCGACTTCTTTGGACCCCAACATGTTCCATTTTCCAAAAACGGCTCCTACTATATCCTCAGAAGGTGGTTGGAGCCCTAGGGAGTAGCATGTCAAATGGACAATTGGACCCAAGCCACCCAACAGCAAGCGAAACGGAGGTCTAGTGAAAGATGCCTTTGCTCGGCTGAACGAGTAGTAATAGGAAAGAACTGCATTGGGGTCTGAACAACATGGAGGGCACACCCAATCGGAGACCTAGTTGCTGGTTCTCTCAAGAATATGCTGGCATGGTACAACCAGAATCCTCCAACCTTCCCAAACATTAGAGACCCAAAGGCTCATTGGACCCTCAGTCCGCCAGGGTTTTGGACCTCAAACATGTAGCAGTTGGTTCGGGTCCAGGGTCGCCTCTGGGGATGTCTATGTTCTTTCACATCCACCAATCTGCCAAAACCGCAACATTCGATGATACACCGTCTGAGGGGGATAGGTACCTTACCCGATCTTACCCGTATCTGTCCATGGGGAACCATGGGCTCCAATGAAACATGGTGCACCAGCTTCTTCCAGTTATGACCTAACTAACGTGTGTGACCCTGCAACGCTTTTCAGGCGTGAAAAAAGACATGCTAGCTGTGAATCTGGTATCGAACCAAGTGTAACTGTTGAAGAACCAGGCAACAATAGATTTAAAGCGGTCCGTGTTCCAAAACCTTCATGATCAGTATACCCTATACTCCAACCATCTCCTCAGAAGGTGGTTAGACCCCCAAAAAAAACACCCCAACCACCTTCTCAAGAGGCAATCAGAGCCCTAGGGATAGCACAGCCCAAGGAATTCACTCGGATTGCGCTAAGATGCGATGAGCACCTGATTGTAATCGCTCCAAATGGATCGGCGATAACAACTCCTGCGGGGAGAGTGGGACAGGAAAGCAGGTGTCCTCCAAACAAAAAAAAAATCATATCGACATGTTTGAATACCTTGGATATCCTTGGATTCTACAAACAAACACACCTAAAGGCCAAGCTGGGTTGAACCCTTATCTGGCTTGGGCAGATTTGGTTAGGACCGTTAGGAAAAGGTTATAGGAAAGTCCGTGCTATGGATGGAGCTCCCTTCTGAGGACAGTGCAAGTAGTTGGGGATGCGAGCTGGGTCTGTCACTGGAGGGCCAGTCCCTACTGAGGATGCCAGTCTGCTTCATTCACTTCCCTGCAAGTCCAGTCTGACGGTCTTGACCTTAAAGCATTTACCAACTCCAGCAAAACGAGGTCTTTGACGTGTAGGGAGACACTGTTGGGGATTGGTCTTCACTCAAAAAAAGAGGAAGGCCGTGCAAGCTCAGCTGTGCGCCACAGACCTCGACTCATGGGACTAGCGATCTTCCTTGCATCGTTGCTCAGGGCTTCAAGGATCTCAGGTGGATATTTTTCTTCTGAGGCCGAGATGTCCCACAAAAAGTACTCCTTGGACCTGTGTGGATCCATCATCCATGCCCACGCATCCTGAAAATCATCCGTGGCATCCCTCACATGCTGGGATTGAATGCCCGCTCACCGCCCACAAAAGAAGCCACTGAAAAGAACTCCGTGCTTCTCCGTTCGGCAGGACCTTCTATTCTAGGATGCCTCGAGGACACTGGCGACTCTGGCGCTGGCGACTCTGTCGTCTTGTCTCCTCTACCCGGCCCAGCATGGTTGCGAAGCCCCAGAAGTAGGTCGGCGTCCCATCCGCCTGGGAGGTAGTGGCAGGAAGCAAAAGCAGCTTGCCAGCAGTCGTGCAAAGAGACGATACAAAGAGCAAACATATTCCAAAAGTATCCCAAACTATGTCAAGAATATCTTACAACCTATTTGATATGTCAAAAACATGTTTTTAGCACACGTGTTTTGCTGCACTTCGTGGGTCCATCTGCTAAATGACAGCCCTCAGCCCTCTCTGTCTCGTCCCAACCCCCGCCTCAGGTGGCCCCAGGAAGGAGCAATGCTCGTCGGGTGGCGTCTTGGAGCAAACCCGCGAGTAGTTGTGGCCACCCCTCGGTGTCTCGGCGAAGCGACGAGTGAGGAAGGAGCTCCCACCGCATCTGCGAGGAACTCGGTCGACACCGAGGAACCCGGCTAGCCGAGGAGTACACGAGGAAGATGGAAGGAGGAGGAGGAGGAGGAGGAGGGGAAAAGGACACGTTCGCAAAGCAGACTTGAGACGGATATGAGACGTCTAAGACTCGATTCACGGCGCGCTTAGGTCACGGGGCTCCTGTCACGTCCCATATCTGCTCAGGTGACCTGGTATTCGACCTCCCAAACACACGCACCCACCCCGAACCGCCCACCGAACCGAAACGGAGGTCGGCCAGGAACCCTTTTGGAGATAAGAGCAAACTCCGGGCCAACACATGGAGAACATGGGAGGAATGCCATTCCGCTCCTCATGTTCTTCAATCGTCGGATGCCCTGGGGAACCAGCGCAAAGAGCGGTTCTCAGCCACATGGATGATGAGAATGATGCTATCTTTGAGACACAATATGATTGGGATGTCAATTTGTTTAATGCGGGAAACTGGGGTGTTCTTTTTGCTGCTAATTATACCTAGAGCCTGACTGACCTCTGTTTTAATAGGAAAAGACCATATTTTGGATAGTTGATCCTCCAAAACAGGCGTCACTCAGGCTCCAGGTGTATAGTAATTTTGCAACTCGTGGAAGCTTTCTGCAACAGTATCTCTCAAAGCTATCTGAGACATCAAGTTCTGCCAAGTGGCGTTTGGTACCAGGCATCAGGCATCAACGCAGGAGCCTGGAAGCTATGCAGTCGAAAAACACGGTCACTACACTCCAAACAGCCCGACTGATTCCTCAAAAACCTGGGGATTGGACGATCCAGTCCCCTTCAAATTTCGGGGCCAGGAGCGTTTGGGTATGTACGGTCTCACCCACTGGAATGGACGAAAACGTACTGACGTCGACCTGTAGGTCTTCCGCTCATTTTCCGTGGGAACACTGACTCTTTCAGTTGCCCTTGTTTTTTCGATGCACAGGCGACTCCTTCAGGTCCTGTGGGGCTGTACAGGTCTCACTGGCGACCTCCAGTTGCCCTGCATTCCACAAAGGTCCACCTTGTTTTACCGGTTCTTAGTTTTCCAGGTGATCCACTGGGGTATGTCCCCACAGCTACTGTGTGACCTTGCACAAAGGTATCTCGATCCGATCCTGAGGTGCTGAAGACCCTCACAGAAGGGTCCCAGCCGGGCCCCCAAAGGGAGCTGAGAGTGCCCTAGGGTTCCTTGCCCACCTCCTGAGAAGGTGGGCCAGGGGTGGATTTTTGGGGGGGCTGCAGGTTTTTAGCGGGATATATTTTTTATTTTTAGTGGGATGTTTTTTTTTGGGGGGGGTTGAGTCTTCTGATTCTGTTGCTTTAGATAGTTTCTCATTAGGTCTACTGGGTTTTTACGTGCTACTATTGGGTGTTTGAGCTAAGTGATCCCTCTACGTGCTGGTGGCCCATAGCATCCACCTTTGTGGGGTCTTCCACGGTTCATAGCTGGTTTGAAGTCGACTGTTCGCGGGAGGCCCAGGGTCAGATCGGAGCGTTTTGCTTCGATGTGCAGCAAAGCCTTTGAAGTGCAATTTCCTTCCTTCCTTCCTTCCTTCCTTCCTTCCTTGCTTCTCCGTCTCCTTCCTTCCTTCCTGCCTGCCTTCCTTCCTTCCTTCTTTCCTTCCTTCCTTCCAGAGCCCATAAAAGAAAAAAAAAACATCCCAAAATATATCCCACGGAAATATGCCCTCCTTTTTGGGGTCCTGAGGATATGGTTGGAGCCCTAGGGGTCGTAGTTGGAAGTTCTGGGAGACACAATCCTTGGAATCATCCTCCCTATAGGGTGGGCCTCCAGTAGAGACCTTCGTTTTGGTTCCGTAAAACTGGGCTGGGAGGGTCGAGTCATACCTTCGGACTGAGCCGCCATACCTTCATGGTACCACTGGTGTGCTCTTTGGATTTCTTACTAGAAAACCTCGGGGCCCATTCCATTCCCCATCCTGAACATGATGGTTCCAGTATAAGACATTGAACAGGGGCTCCGACAAACATGATGATTGCATGGAGCATATACCCAGGGCCCACCCTTCTTTGATCTTATCCGTTGATCAGATCCAAGCAGCAAAGCGCGTGAAGATGGGTCGCCTCCAGTGTGGATGGTTGAAGATCTGATTATTATAGAGGAACAGTTGGTTCATTACGATGAGTACTGTTGATGGACAAGTTCATTTGATGACACAGTTTGGCTTGGGACGAATATCATCCCGCCCGCTTTTTAACACACGTGTAGATAGAGTTCGTACGAAAAAATGCGTGCGGCCACAGCGCGGAAGATCAGAGAATTTGAGATCTGTTGCCCCACAAGCCAAGGCCCCCCTACAGTAGGGTGGTTGATGGACTTTAAATATTAATATATATATATATTAGATATACCCCTTATTACCCCTTACAGGCTCTGGTAGATAACACCATCCATAGGCCCCTAGATTGGCAGGACTTTCATCTTGCATCTTCTCGAATCTGCTTGTTTGCCCTTCTCAGTCAGCGCAAAACGCCGCATTATGCACAAATATTTGGCCGGAGAAGATGGAGCACAGCTTCTCAATTCAATCACATAGCGCCCAGATACCTCTTGAGGATGGTCTTGGAGGTGAATTTGCTCTTTCAGAGAATGGTCTTTGGATGTCTTTGGCACCAAAGTACATCCTTAGGACAGTCCTAGACCCTTAGCATAACGCATCACGGTATGTGGATACAATTGATGTGCAATTTGACGCAAGGGAGAACAACACTTGAAGCACATATCTTTACTTCAGGAGATAACTTAAGCATTGACACCAGAACTTTAAAACATGAACCCGATGCCATAGGGTCCAGGTACCTGAACATGGTCGAACGGTCCAAGTACTTAAAACTGGGCCGCAAACGACCTCGAAACGGATCGTCTGCCGGGCATGCCATCCTGAGTCCCAAACAGAACGACCCTCATCCGTCTCAAAGAATGACGGTTTTTTTCACCTTCTCAGCGCCCAACCCGGCGCCCAACCCCGTCTCGCCTAGCGATCAGAGCGACCCCGCCCTGCAAGAGCTTCACGGGACCAATGACCTTGGGTTTGGGGAGCATTCGAAGGGCTGAGGATGAAACCCTAGGGCTCCAAACAATCTTCTCACAAGGTGGTTAGACCCCCCCCCTAGGGAAGTATCTTCGTTTCGAAGGTGGGACTGGGGCGGGCTGGGAGGGTCCAGTCCTACCATACCTTCGTTTCAGAGGGACTGGATTCCGAGGGAAGGACTGAGGCTTGCCGCTGGCCGCATCCTTTGTCTACCACCGAACCCGGGTTCCTCGGGGGTCGCTAGAAGCTTCCACACTATGTGCGTGGATCCCGTGCCCACTCCGACAGAATGGTCCAGGTACAGGTGAGATAAATGGATAAATGGTTGAATGATATTTGCGATGGAGATTTCAAGTATATTTTCAATATCATATGTTCAAACCATGTTCCCCCAAAGGGCAACTGTTCGTTGGACAAAGGGCGGCAACAGCGTATGGTGGTACCGGGTAACCCAATACTTTAGCTCAGACCATGCCTGCAACCCTTTGGTACCAATTCCCCCCTTCCCCTTGCAAACGAACTCGCTTGCAGAATGATAGCTGAAGGTTTGGTCCATGGCGGACTGCCCAAGTGTCGTGGAAAGGATGTGTTGTTACCAGTGTTTCATCATTTGGCATCCAACGCCGTGGAACAAGTGTGGAAACATGCCAGGCATGCAGGACTGCTACAAGTCTTTTGTAGGATGCGGCGGAAAAAACACTGTTTTTCAGCAAAGGATTCCGGACCTCCTTTGGCATTGAAAGTGAGGTACAAGTCGAGTCTCCACGCGAATTTATTCATGGGTCACCGCAACAAGACAGCCTAACCTGCTGTACATCAAACGCATTAAGGTGATGTGCCTTCAAGGGGTCCATCCTATTATCAGTAACAGTGGATGATGATGGTTCGTAAAGGACTTGTTCAGACATTGTGATCATCGTTGATTGACGGCTCTACAGGTAATGTGCCCATCATCCAAGCGATGGAACCCCACACCATTCACATCCCACCTCGCCCCAACCTCGCCACGCGGGTCACCTCGCCCCAACCTCGCCCCTACGGGGTGGATCGACCCAACCGCCCGCCCGATCGCGCGGTGCGGCCCGACCCAACCGCCCGGTGCCCAGTGGCTGCGGTCTCCTGTTTCACGATGGAGTCCAGCGCGGCAGGGGATCGGACGGGATCCAACAACAAGTTGAGCCCCAAGGCCGCACGGTTGTCCTGGCCGCGCTTCCCGGGGGACGAAGCGGAAGGCCCAAAAGCAGGTGTCGAAGGACAAAGGCTGCGCCGCAGATGCCAAGGTGGTGTGAAGGGTGCGACATAGATGTAACATGATGTAACAGCTGTGGAGGTGAGTCCCAGACCCAAACACTCGATGTATGGCGTGCGAAGCGGACACCAGGAATCGGCTCAGAGAAAGTCACGGCCAGCTTCTTCATGTCAGCCAAGATAACGAGGCTGCCAACAAGGTTAGCAACCCTGGTCGACATGGCAGCGGAAATTGTTGATGTGGTATTGTATAGGCCGATTGGCGGTAATGTCATCGTGGAAAGGTGGAGTGTCGCGAAAGTTGTGTGAGGATTTTGAAGGTGGTGTGCCTCTCCTCATCCTGGAAAAACAAGATTACCAGGTAGTACTGTGCGCGAACCGCAGCACCACTTGGGAACCCCCTGGCTCTTCCAAAGAGAACTTTGAATCAGCGACCAGGGTTTTGAACTGGACTGGCCAGGCAGGAATACTGGAAGGATGTCAACAAAGACCAGTGGTTCATCCGTGCAGCCAGGTGCCAGAAAGAGTGTTTGCCGTCTGCTGGATGTCGGCCGATGTGTGCACAGTGCCAAGAGCTGGGTACGAGCCGGGTGGCGTCCGAATCGGACACCAGGAATCGGCCACCAGAAGAAACCCTAAAGAAGCCAAGCCCTAAACAAAGCGGAAAGAAGTGAAGCCTGAAACCAACCCTAAACATCCTAAACAACCCAAAGAAGTCAAGCCTATACCAACCCTTAATAAGCCAAAACAAAGCCTAAAGAAGCCAAGCCCTGAACCAAACTCAATCAAGCCCCCGTAAAGAAACCAAGCCCTAAGACAAGCCCAATCAAAACCTAAAGAAGCCAAGCCCCAAGCAAGTCCTCCTAAAGAAGTCAAGCGCTGAAAAAGGAGCCAACACAAACCCTAAAGCAGTCAAGCCCTAAATAAGCGAAGCCCTAAAACAAGCCGGAAGAAAGCCTAAAGAAGTCAACCTCAAGCCAAGCACAAACAGCCCCGAAAGAAGCCAAGCCCCAAACCAAGCCCAAGGAGACCCCCTCAAGAAGTCAAGCCCTAAAAAACAAGCCAAAACAAGCCCAAGGACTCAAGCCGTAAGCCAAGCCCAACCAAAGCCTAAAAAAAGCCAAGCCCTAAACAAAGCCCAACCAAGCCCTATAAAGAAGTGAAGCCCTAAACCAGATTTTGCCAGCCTGCGCAGTCGAAACGTACTTCGAAGATCTCGAGAGGCGTGCGTGAATAGCAGCGAATTTGCCGGACACGCCGATGGAACACCTCGATCAAACACCGAGCCTTAACGATTACAGTAAGAGCCAATCGCCATCCCCTACAGACGCTAAGCCCTGTTGCTAATAACTAATACCTGATACCTGGTCGCTGATTCAAAGTTTTCTCCATGTATGGCATACCTATGAATACCTATATATTACATATTACACATTTGGGTGGTTTCAGGGGTCAATGTAAGCTGTATATATATATATATTATGCATATACAATATTTCATACTGTGGAGTATCATGGAGTATTTTGGGATAGAAACAAATGTGTTAGTTTGTTCATTCCAGGGCCTCCGGTAAGGGGTGTCCAATTATTGTCCAAAAAAAACATCTCCCGATTCGGGCCCCCTACGTTGCAGGGTCATGCTGGTTCAAATTACTTGGCGTACAAGGAATTGATTTCCCCAACGTCGTAAAAAATTGGGACCCCCTGACTCTTTGGCTTTTTCCTTCCAGCCACCCAAGAGAATGACTGTACACTCTTCGCTGCAAATGCGTGAGAAGCTCGATCGACCTATACGATGCTCAACGTAAGTGGGCCGACCTTCACCACCCAAAAACCACCAAACCCAAACACGACCTGTCTGGGACTGGCATATACCGATCCAGTGGGGCGGGGGGGGAGGTGGAAAAGGGGTCAATGTAGGTCAATATGATAGGTCAATGCAGTGTTTGGGACACGTTAGAGGCCATCTATTTGCCGTCCCGGTGTGTGTGTTACAGGCCATCCCGATCCATCGCTCCGGAGTACCCGCAGAGAAACGTGCATGCAGCGGAATGTCAGATCCAGTAGCTTAGATTTTGAGTCAGAAGTAATAAGTTATAAGTGTGTGTTTTGTTTATTTTCTTAAGTAAGTTCAACTTGATCATATGTCGAAGTAATCTAAGCAAGATAAAAAGTCGAAGTAATAAGTAATAAGTTGCTTAGATTTTGAGCAAGAAACATCAACCAGTGGATCCAGTGGATCTGTATCACTATCATCCCAAACTGGGCTTCGATCGTCCCATGTTCTCCCCCAAAAAAAACAATCCAAACGCACGCACCCAGCGAACCGAAATTCGGAGGTCGGAGCCCGGGATTACTTCCACATGGCTATGGGTCAAAATAGGGGTACCCCCCAACCATTGGTTTATAATGGGAACCCCTACTGAAATGGTGGTTATTGGGGGTACCCTATTTTGACCCATGCCCACATGTTGTTGTTGCTGTCTTTTTGCACTCCAGTACCTGGCCGCTGTCGCGTTCGGAAGGACAGCCACACTCTACGTGGATCTCCAGGTCTCTCATGGTCTCTCCATACGTTGGAAGGTCCAGGTCAAATCGATCAATGTCGACCCCGCCCCTGCAGTCGGACGAGACACGACTCCGCTCGTTCGCACCGCTGCGGTCGGTCGTTTCGCTCGACTCGGCTCCTGTGTCTCGTCCACGAGGGGATAAATACAATCCTGAGACGGAGGGATGCGACTTCGCCGTTGACTTCCGGCAAGGTCGTACAGAACCGAGGGTACGACGAAAAAACGACAACGGCACCTACATTATAACAGTGTCTCCAATGACCTTCTGAGAAGGCGCTTGGATCCCTAGGGTTCTACAAGATGTAACAGAAGTGTTTGTTGATCCTAAATCGGTCAGTACGTCATTCACTGATGACTCTGTGGTCTGTCAACCTATGTCATTCCCAAGTGCGCGCGCACGCACGCAAGCACACACCAACCAAATGCTGGAACAAAGGGCATAACATGTGTCAAGCACCCTTTTATGAATAAAAACACATCTCAAACAACGTCATGGTCCAGCTGACTGTGACTCAACTCACCACTTGTGGGAGTTCGGAACTCGGAACTCCCACGAGGAACTCGGAACTTCCAAACAAAGCTACCAGGATCTACCAGGACCATAAACATCGATCAAATACTCATAATCGCTTCCTTTGGTCACTCAGAAGAAGAAACGCTTGACCCCAAATATGAGATTCTACGTAATAATTACCTCCAATTTTTCATCGGATGCTTCATCTTCCTCATGCGGCTTCTTCACCCTTTTCTTTCTGGTGCATGGTGACAACTGTTCTTCCCAAGAGAGGCGTTTCACAGCCCAGGGCGGTCGCCCATCCCAGATGTACCACAGACCAGGGTCCGAACGTTACGGTCTCAAAGAACCTCTCTTGGACTGTTCTTCCCCATCTTCCCCACGTCACCCGGCGCGAACTCGCTCGCCCGGGCGAGTTCGCATTCCGCTCCAAGCGGCCAAACGCCCAAAGGGCGCCAGGGGAGGTTGGAAATGCCCTGGTAGGTACCTGAGGTTGGAAACACTCCGATCGTGTGTGTTGTTGTTTTTTGTTTAGTATTTGTGTGTGTGTGTGTTTTTTTGCAGTGTGTTTTTTCTCTTTTTTTCCAGGATCGTTTTTTCTCCTTGGCCAGAAATGTGCGAGACAATGGCCATAAGATAGCCCAAAACGCTGCATTGTTCATTTTGCACAAAAAGGATTGTTTTTGTTAGCCATGATAATGGGATGCTACGCCCCACACAGAAGAATGGCTGCATATCAGGTACCATGTGTTTTTGTTGCCCGTTTTTGGGGCATGTTCGAGCCATGATATGCCAGGATGTCCCCCACAAAAATGGAAGCACGTAGGTGATGTCTCACAAAAATATTGGAATAGGTTGGTGGGTCCAATACAGTACCTCCAATTGCTCCATGGTCGCGTCAACTTGAGGCTTCAGAAACGTCTGGGATCTCAAAAATGCACTCCCTAGGGCTCCAAGGACCTCCTCAGAAGGTATTTGGACACTCCAGACCCACCCCAAACACCTTCTCAGAAGGTACTTGGAGCCCTAGGGACTGTGAAGAACTAAGGAACGTCTGGCATATTTGGCAGCGGATCAAGCACCAGGATACCTTGGTCGACCTATACCCAAGGACCAGGGCTCCAGGTTTGAACGACCCATCCTGTGATTTACCACGGAGCCTCAGTTGGTTTCGTAGAAAGTAGGTACAGTTGTACCTGTTTCTTGTTCGGGTCATGTCCCATGTTTTAACCCTACGTACGTCCAGTCTGACCCAGGTCCAGTCTCCTGGTCTGACTGACCTCCTGAAAGAATGGTGTTTTGGATGACCAACTCCAGTATTTCATGAGGTCGTTCACTGGCTTGTAGGGTAATAGGGTAAGATTCGTATGAAGTAATTATGCAGTGGGTTCTATCATCCCCAGTAACATATCTGAAACTGAAACCACCAGCCAGCTGCTTCTTTTGGTGGCTGCTTCTGAACTTGAACAGTGACTGCTCAACCTCGAACCTCGTCACACAAATACTGAGTCTCGATGCCAGAGATCCCTCAAACAATCAGGATTTGACATGGTTAAAAACATTTTCCACTGTTTCTTGTTCACAGTGGGGACACTCCCGCATCCCCCAAGAAAGGTGTTGCAGGTTCTCCACTTTTCCTGGGTAGGAAATATAGGTACAAAAGGCCCCAGTAGCATCCTACTATAAATCCTATTCATTCATCCTACTATATATAAATCTTATTCATTATATGTACAATATTCTATCTTCAAATGGTGATTGTCCTGATGAATCAAATAGACATCACATAAAAATCGACCATCAATATGATTCATCGCTGGACAGTTCATAGACACATCTTGGTACCGCGATCATGACATGTTATGATAAAATGATATGTAGAGTGGGGTAGATCGCGCATTGAAGTCTATATAGTGTAAAGCATTGTGCTTTTTCAGAATAGCACCTGACAGGAAACTATAAACAAAACACAAACTTTACAATCTCATTCTATATCTCACCGATGCATCATCCCACCTGCACCTCTTCCGTCGGAGTGGCTGATCAGAGCCTCCGCCAGGCTGGCGAAGTTCTCCAAAGCGATGCCCGCATCCTTTTCGAAGCCCCAAGCAACCACGAGCGAACGAAGCTCCAAGAACCATGGAACTGTGATAACTGATAACCCTAAACCCTCTTCCCTCTCATTCCAATGTGATAAAGTAATTACCATCCAAGAAACAGCGCGCAGTGAACTATTACTCATCGTTCCATGTCAGGTGACAAGGAGTTGCATCGAGTTCACGTGGTGACCGGAGTCCGTGGCCGATTCCGGCATCGTGTTGCGCAAGGGTCTGAGAACGTTCGGAATGTTCGGATCACGCCGTGGTGGAAGCGACATGGATGATGTGAATTATGTGTGTCTGTGTGTGTGTTATTCTTAAGATGCGCCACGCATGGCGCAAGGGCTTGGAGTATTGTCTTGGGGCTAGTGACTGGACTCGTGTATGATTCTCATGGAGCAGGTTGTGGACATGAATGAAACAAAACACGTGCAGTGATAACACATGTGATAACAATCGTTGCTATTTCACAGACCATTTGCCGATGGATGTTGATGAACAGCCCGGCCCTTGAAGTGGATCTCTAACAGACTATGCCGTCCTGGCATACCACGCACCGTCCTGGCCATGCAGCCACCCAAAACTATGAAGGCCCTGAAGGCTACAGGTCTGAATGTGAAGGAGCACCAGGTTTTAGCTCTTCTAAATCTCTCGCAAAAAGCAGCACGTTTCACCCGTTAGCAAATCCTGGGTATAAACATCTCAGTTCCCAATCAATCCTTGCCTTGCAGAGTCTGAGTCTGAGTCTTTAAAGAACAACGAGTTTGGAAAACCCGCTAGAAAATGCTCCAATCGACCCCGGGGAATCCCATGGTTCAGTTTAATGAAGGACATTCAACCCCCCACCCTGGTTCCAACGTGTTCAAACCGGAAAACGTGTGCGTGTCATCTTCCAGCTCCGGCCCGGCGGACTCTGAACCTCCCGCACATTCTACAGGTTCCCCGAACTGTTCCGGAGTGTTCATGAAACACATGGCAACGCACTGTTTTTTTGTAAATGGAACACATACACAACTTCGACCACTTCGACCTTCAAATCTTGGACTTCGACCAACATTTCCCCAACCCTTCCTTGGATTTAACCATTCCTTTTACCATATAAAGGGAAATTCATCAAAATCACCTGATCCGCCAAAGCCAGGCATATCCGGATCTTCCCGAAACTCTTCGAACATCTTCCAACCCCTTCCAACCCTCAAACCCCTTCCAAGAATCCCCCAAAAACCGACAACCCAACCTCGGCGCGTTCCACTCTCCGACGCCCTTCGACACCCGGACGCGACCTGCCGTCCAACCCGACGCACCGTCTCCACCCGAGGTGCGTCGATCTTCATCATCGCCTCCAGGGCCTGGACGGAGCTCACCGAGCTCCGCACCTGGCGCGCCACCTCCTGAGGCCGAGGGAAGTCCGCCCCGGCGAATGGACGGAGTGGCGTCAGTGGGGTTTTGTTCGGTGAATTGTGGGTGGGGGGCCACTGAGCATCTGGGTGAGAACAACGGGTGAGACACGATGGGGAGCGGTTTTAGGGTTTTTGGGGCTTACACGGGATGCTTTGGGCATGTTGGAGCTGAATGGTGTCAAATTGGGTCGGAGCTATGTGTTTGTTGGAAGTGACAAGGGGCTGCGCGTTCTTCTTGCACTGCATGGAATAATTTCTTGTTTGCATGAGTTTGCAGAAACCAACCGGGCCTAGACATTTTGATAGACATTGTTTGCTCCTATCCTGGTTCCCTTTTGAGACACTTTCAAGACTTGTATAGACTTGGAACCTCTGCATCAAATCAGTTGATCTCTCCACTACGTTGGACCGACCGTCCGGCAGAGCTCCGGACCGACCGTCCGCGTCTCATGGAAAGCTCATCACTGGCAGGAGACGCAACAAACCATTGGGGATGGCAGACTTGGGATGGCAGACTGGTTGAGGAAACTGGTCGACCGAAACATACTGGTAACTGGTAACCATCATCCCAAACACTGATGCATGGACGCCTGAAACCACCCCAATGTAGGTAAATAGGCCATATAGTGTACATGGAGTGTCTGGGCATGATGATGGTTGCAGGCAGTCATCTCAAAAGGAGTTAATCCTGTACCAACTGTTACTGGTCATGGGAGACACTCTACCGTCCTGGCCCTTTACTAAGCTTCGCTGTCACTCGCCTCTTGATATCATCAAGAGTCTGCATGAGGCTCAATAGGCTCCTTCATCCCGTTTGATAGGCCGGCCGCACCAGTCTCCCTCCGCCCGGAACTCCAAGCTGACTCCAAGCAGCACCCGCGTAAGTCTTAGAGAGGTCCAAGACCGATTCCCGCAAATGGACCCGCTTCGAGGCATCCGTGGAGAGGATGTTCTGGATGCTCACCGCGACCTGGTGAAACACACCCCGTCAACAGCGCGGTCGGACCGGTGACCGGTGGACAAGGAATCACCCGAACGCGGTAGGCCATCGAATGACCGTTTTGATAAGCTCCAAAAGAGGTGTCACTGAGGTTTTAGGCGTAGAATATCGTAGAATCAGCTCAGCAGTCAATTGTTATAGGGTAGTGTGCATGTTGATGCATATTTCATATTGCGATGCGCTGGACAGTTGCCTCTCACAGAACTCGTCAGCGAACTCGTTCCAAGCTCATATTGACCTCCTTCCAACAACGGTTTCCCTCATAAAGCTGTGCTCTTTTGATATCTGATCCCATGGAAGTGATTTGCCCGAATCTCTTTTAACCTCCAACAAGGTGCCTTGATGTTCATATTTTTGCACCTATTCTTGGAGGTCTCCTTTCAGCAACTGAAACAACATTGAACAAATCCACCTGCAAGAGTTGTAAACTTATTCTGTCTCCAAAAAACATCCACACATGATTGTCCAAAATTAACAACCAGATCCTGGAGTTTGCTGCTTCTGTTACCTTGGACCATGAAGACAGTGTGGCGGTTGGAATCCACAAAAACAACAGTGTCTTCACTCGGAAGCATCACCACATCCCGTACTTGGACCCTCGAAACCCATCCCCAACACAAACACCGAACGGAGAACGGAGCTTTTGAGAGGTCTGATGTAGACTCTTGATGACACACAAACGAAAAGAACGTAGTAAAACACTCCTGGAGACTTTTTTGAAGGGATCCAACATTACCTTCTCAGGTCTTGTGGCGAACTGAAGGGGGGTTGGGATGTCTTTGGATCATAGAGATCCAAATGTTTGGTGTCACAAAAACCTCTTCAAGATCACCCTCCATGAGAAGGTCCAAATGTCCCCCCTCTTCAAAAACGTCAATAGTAACTATAGAGCTATTGAAAAGCCTAAACCATTGCAAGACACTCTCACACGAGGTGTTTTTGTTTTGTATCACACTTCTCCATCTCCGTCAAGCGACAATGGCCACGATGATGCAAAGCACCACCCAAAAGCGGGGCCATTGCATCCACAGTGGTACACATTTCCGGGGCTCCTGAGATTCGTACACATGTCAGCGAGACTGCCCCCTGGTTTTGGTTCGGGAAATAGACATGAACCCGTATTTACAAGTGAGTTCGAGCCACTTGTTTGATCATTGGTTAGGCAAAGATCCCTGTGCACCCTAATGGCAGCCAGCTGAGAACTCGAAATGAACAGACCGGGATCGAGGAAGCATTCCACTCGAAAAACGGCAGCTTTGCAGGCTTCACAAGCCGCTTTCCAAATGCCAAACCGACTGGACACCAGTGAAGGGCGGGGGTGGATGGCTTCGGGTATGGATAAATGTCTATAATCACATATAGCTAGAACCTGAATGACCTCTGTCTTGATAGGAAAAGACATGCTCTTATCCTTGATGGTCCGAAATAGAGGTCATGCAGGTTAGGCGATCATCATCTGGGTCAACAGGGGAGTCTAAAGAAAGGGAAGGGCACCTCAACCACCCAGCAGCGAATTCCCTTCACCCAGCTCGGCGAGCCTGAGCAGAAAATACCAGCTAACCTTGGGAAAAAAAGATCTACACCGAATGATGAAGTATTTACCCATACATCGACCCCTAAACAAACCAAGGTACTTATGTAGGGTACTATATATTATATACAGTATACCGTACATGATGTACTCATCCGAGTCCTCCCTGGAATCATCCTGGTTTCGTGGAACATGGCCCCTGTGATGTCCTGTTCCTCTACTACGCGAATTGGTGGTTTTTCACTTCCATGATGATCCCAGGCCGTGTAGAGGGAAGAGAAAACCAAAGAAAGACCAGGCCGTGCGTTCACCCTCCTTCCTGTCCTTCCTGTCTTGCAGGTAACCCGCTGTAAAAGAAAATGCGACCAGGTGAGCCACCAGCGAATCGTCTGAGCTGGGCTCCGGCGAACAAGACACCAGCCATGGCCGCCCAGTAGCGTGCCCAGAAGGTACCACGGTGTGAAAAATGAGCACTCATCCCTCCCTCCCATAGGTCTGTGGATCAGGTGGTGAACTCCAATTCCATAAGTTAGTTGGAACTGGAGGAAACACTTCAACTCATGCTTAGTTGGGTTAGTTGGCTTACCATTCCATAAGTTAGTTGTTACAAGACCCTGTTTGCTCTGCTTCATGCTCTTTCCAGGGGACCACTTCGTCCTTCTCCCTTCCCCCACCGCCCCTTCCCCGCCTGCGTTTGGGCGCTGGACCCTAGGCTGTCCACCCTGCGGTTGGCTCAGATGGGGTGACTCAATCCGAGCCCGGAACTCGACCTGGCTTGACCTCCTCGGTATACTTGATGTTGCTTCATTGTTGATGTTGGGGAACAAGCAAGGTGTACCCACAGCCATCTCCAGACCCTGGACCCTGAAAGAGGCTGCTCATTGGATGGAATTCGAAGTCCACTATTGTCATCGGTGGTCTGACGGTGCTGGTGATGCGTCTACGGCCTAAGGGTCCAGGACCGTGCTGTTTCACTCAGGCCGTCTAGAGGGCAGCGGCGACACTCGATCTGGTGAACCACCGTACCGAAACGAACTCCTCCGTTCGATCTTTGGAGGAGACATGCTGGCGTTTTCTGACCGTACAGTTCCAATACGCTTCCTGAATCATGTGCCAGTGACGGCGAGTAGAAATACTGATCTGACTTGATGCTACGGCCCATCCGCATTCGGATGCTGCGACCAACAAGCTGCGTTGCAACGAACTTCGAAAGTTGGACCCTAGGAGCTCTCTTAGCAATAGACGGACTGGAGATGACTGGAGACCTTGGTGGTCAAATCTGACCTAGAAGACCATGTTGGTCGATTTTTTTTTGCGTGCCGTTTCCAGGATGGGTGTATGACTATAAACAAATACACACGGTTATGCCATGTAGTTCATAATTCAACCTTTTGTCTGCTCCCGAATTTCAACTTAGCAAGCCGGCCCTAATATACCTAAAAGCCTGAGTGACCTCAATGTTAGACCACCAACCACTCAACGTATGGCCAAACTGCCTAATCTTCCTATTAAAGCAGGCGACATCTGGGTCTTGGGAGCTCTTCAGTCTTCAGTGTTTCTCGCTTTCGGCGCCTCAAGTGGTGTACCGGATGATTCTCGTGGCCATCGGTCATGCCATTGGGCTCCGCCCGCGCAACCGGCCCCTCTCGCGCCCGCGCGGACGGGCGTCTTCCACTCAAGGACGACGCGGGGGAACGATCACGGACGCTGTGGTCTTGAGTTGCTTTGGGGGAGCATGACTGGGTGGTTTTTCAAAGAGGTGTACATATTCATCCTACAAAAAGGAAGAGTTCATTCACTAAAATCCAACAATATGACTCATGACAGTTGTCATCAGTTGTCTGATCTCAAGAATCGCGAACAAAAGCATGACAACTAACTGGTTCTCCTCGACATAGTCCCACAAAGAGCAAGTAATGGTGCGAGCTACTGCCTACCTGAACACGGTGCCCATCTTGACGCATCTTCGGTCAAGAGACCCACCCCAAAATGTCCTGCAGGGGGGGGAACTCCTATCGCACCAATTGGTGCAGTTTCGGTACCTGAAGCGAGCCAAGAGATGACAAGAGCGGTACGACTGGACGTATAGGTAGGGAAAAAAAAAACAAAAAAACATGTGTTATCTCTGGGCATTCCACTAGTCCCCTGCTTGGGATTCCAATTGCTGGTGAAGTGAAAACACCCCCCTAAGCTATAGAGAAAACATTCACGACGACTTACTCTGTAGACCCGAAAGCTCCTGTTCCTGCCTCCGTTTCGATGGTGGGCCAGGGTGGGTGCCAGGAGCCCGGATGGGATGCTTGGGGATGTGTAACCACTCACCTCTCAAGGGATGCAAACTCAGTATAGGACTCTATTAGGATATAAAATCAAAAAAGGACACTTAAACATACTTGAACCTAAAGTAACCAATTAATACAGCAAGTGAACATCCCTTCAATGAATCAAGTCTTCCCACCCCCTCATCAGCCACCTAGTAGGCACCTAGCCCCATCTTCTCTTATCCAGCCCAAACCGTTCAGCTCCCTTCTTCTCCGCGTTCGGCCCGAAAACCGCCACCGAAAGCTCGCCGCGCGGCTCACTTTCGACCTCTTCCGCCGCTTGGCTCACCACTCCTGGCGCCGGAAGCCCACGCGGCGCACCGGGTCGAAGGCGAAGAGGCCCTCCGAGGCCAACTCCTCCGCCGCGTTGGCCAAGTAAAGCTCCTCGCCGCGGTGGAGCCGTTTTGCGTCGCTGGGTTCGTGCTTCCCTCCGGGTGAGGAGTGGTTTTGGAGCTGAGGGTTGGCACGGATCCGGACTTATGGCCTATATATTGTATAAATTTGATTTGTCATAGTAAAGGGGGGGTCAACCTCTGAATGTTGACCTGATTACCTGCTTAATCCCTATGAATCCACATAAATACCTTCTCCGAAGAGCGTTTGGGAGTGTGAACTGGGCGGATGTCTCCAACAAAAATCTTTGGATATCACGAAAACTCACAACTCTAATATACATGTCATCCCATTTCCACATGGACATGATATGACTTAAATGTAATTGTTTGAATCATGTAAATCATGCAAAGGATGCAAAACAGTTAGGGCGTCTTTTTGATGTTCCCTTTAAACTTTAAACCTATCAATTGCAGAACTGTCTATGTGTCTGGATGAGTGCGTTTCAGCCGGTCTGCCATGATCAACAAATGAGTCCAATTTTGGATTTCAGATCAACCTCCGTAGTTCAACCGCTCACTCAACCTTATATATATAGCACTATCTATAGCTATATCTGGTCAAACGGAGGAGTTCGTTCGTACGAACCAGAGAATGGCCAACATGGGGGGCCAAAGGACATATGATTCGGATGGTCTGGACCCTCAAAAAACAAAATGACAAGACATAACAAAACACCTAAAAATAACTGCATGGAAGACATCAAATGTTTTGTCAGTGGGTTACGTGGCACATTATGGAACTTGCATTTCTGTTTGCCAGAAGAGGGTTCAATTTGGAGGCGATCCAATCCCCGTGGGACACGTTTGTTGGCAGAGCGCTTCCAAAAGGCGGCGCCAGGCCGTTATTCTTTCCAATGTGGAGTTGAATGCTTTCGCGCAGTTGCTGTTGGAAGGTGGGCATTTTGCCGCTCTGTGTGCCGCATAATCCGTGTTGTGTTTCTTCTTCTTTTCACTGGACCTCACTGTTGAACTAGAGTGTTCGAACATAGAAACCCGGACTAACCCGGCTGGTTGGAGAGATTCGAAACACATAGAAAACTCAAGCAAAAGCGGCAGCCTGGATCCAAAGACCCTCCCTGCTACACTCCCTTTCGTCTCCCTTTCGGAACCGGGTCTCCGGCGGCGCGCCGTAGCGGGTGGCGCAAAGGATGAGGTTTTGCCCCTCGGCCACCCGGACGCTCCACGCCTGGACGCGCAAAGGGATACACCGGATCTCCGTGCATCAAACGAGAACATGCATGCAAGCCAACTTCATGTTTGATTGTGGTGTCTTTTCATTGGCAAAAATCAAGTGGCATTCTTATATACCGATACCTACATGATTTAGTCAACATATCCTCGCGCCTTCGATTGAAAGCCCAGCTGGAATGCATCGGCCAGCTTCCCAGCGGATGGCGCGTTGAAATGATGAGCATCCTCCCACATAGGCACCTCGCATGTCATCCCAGCTTGACAAACAAATCACATGGACCAAGAGGTTGACCTACCTGGAAGGCCTTAGCTGCTACATGGTGGACCAGGGCTACAGGTTTTGACCCTTCCCATGTTTAAGTCAGACGTCAAACACTCGTCTACCAGGGGATGTGTGGTGCTCGTGGTGTACCGCGGGACTAAAAAGATCCAAGCAACACTAATCCTATGGGGGTTGTGGGAAAACAACCAGAAGGCTCCATAATATCTGTCCTATTGCTAAGACAACAAAGGCAACAAACCCTCGTGTGGTCCATGCAAATATAGTGTTGTTGTTGTTGTTGTTGTGGTGGTTGTTCACTCACGGAGGAAGTCGGGGTGTCCAAACCATGGGACGAGCCCATACAGTATCAGCTGGTGGTTTTTTCACCCTGACCGGGCTGTGTCGAGACCGCGAGGCCGAAGGCTCATCCCAGCGGCTGGGCATGTAAGGTTCACCACGCAGCAAGTGGCGACAGAAGCACAAGCTTGACCTCGGTCTCCGGGTCAAGCTTGGGCCACGCGTGGCTTGGGACTGATCTAACTTCAACATCAAAAAGAACACAAACAACGCGGATGCTTGTTGATGCTTGCGCTTTTTTGGGTTTCAGGTGCTGCAATGTTTATATCAATAAGATTCAATAAGTATCCTAACATAACCTAACACAAACCACAGTCATGGATAAAAGAATACGAAACATCCCTCCCAGGCTGGTCTAATCACTGGCGTTTTTGGATCCGTTGACAATCCTCCTTACTTATCTTACTTGAAGTGGTAGAACTGCTTGGGAAACTCCCGTGGGTCCCGAGCTCCGGCTCCAGTCGCTCCCTTGAAGCCGTCGCGATCCGCTCCCTTTGGCGACTTCCCCAACTTCCGAGTTGATCCCCCCCGCCCAAAACGCACCACATCTCCGCGGTGGAGGACTGCCCTCCTATGCGGCAAGACACCAAAGTCCTCGGTCAAGAAGGCCTCCGGAGTCTCGCCTTGTCCATCGAAGACGTCCATGACCAGCAGGTCGTAGCGGACTTCGTTCGATGCAGCCTTGACGAACCTCGGTCCCAGGTCGGTGGACATGTCGCTGCTGTGTTGAACCGGTGTTGTTTGTCGATGTCTCATGATTTCTCCACATATACGTCTCATGAAGTGAAGTGTTCTGGGAAATATGGCCGTCTTTTTGTGGTGAGGCCAAATCATTGAAAGGAAGTCCAAAACTGTGGCTTTGGCATGTTTTGGCCCTTAAAACCTGTCTTGTCTGCTGCCCAAACGTGCAATGGAATTTGATGGGCAAAACAACCCTTAACCATACTTAATCTTAGTTCGCAGGTTCTCTTTTGTATTGAAATCCGACACTTGCACGAGATCACTGTGGACTCGGAATTTTTGATCAAAACCCGGTGGAAAACCTATCACCAGTCATGATCTCCAACCACCTGGCTGGAAGCCCCTACACTACTTAGGGATTTCCATTGGACACCCCTTTTTCAGGTCCAGGTATATATAGTGCGGACATTTGATGTGCAAAATTGTCCAGAATCCAGAATCCCCAGGCTTTCTATCAGGGATTGAATTCTCGGTTGTTCCAGGTACCGGGTAACACGTTCCCTGGGTACTGTTCATGATCCAACGCCGTAGTACTTCTTCTCCGATTTCATGTTGGAGAGCATGTCCTTCATACCCAGACACTCCATGTATGGAATATATACCTATATACATTGACCCCCCCTGGCACCACCTTAATGTAGGCAAATATGGCAGTCCCATGGAGTGTCTGGGATATTTGGAAATTATCCAACAGTCTCCGAGGTGAAGAAACCCAAAAGCCGTCCACTGAGAAAGCACTTGGATCCAGGCAAATCGCAAGCTTGCGTTCTCTTTCTTGCGTTTCGCTTCTTTCTCCGAAGTTCGGAAGCACCAAAAAGAGAGCCACTGTGGAACCGGGAAGATGCAAATCACCCAAACAAGCACAGGTAAAACGAACATACAACCCTTCCCCCGGCCAGGGGCTTCACCCCAAGAACTGTGAAAAACCTCGTCACCCGCAAGTTGCGGCTGCCACCCAGTGGCTCAACACCATCACAGCAATACACCCGCAAGGCATCAGTGTCAGCTTCGGCATCCTTAAGGCACCTGAAAAGAGGCAATCAAAAAGCATTTCGTTGACGTTTCAGGGGAAAACCCTTCTTTGTTCCCAGGGGAGACCAACAGACCTCCGATTTCCGTTTCGGAGCGTCCTGTTTCGGCACCCCCACCTGAACAAATTCTACATCTTCCTGTTTTCAGCAGAAAGAGCCCCGTCAGCCGACGGGATGACACTTTGCGCATGTTTCTCTCCAAATAACAAGGCATGGAACAGGTACTTCCAAAAGCTGCTGAGAAAGAACACCTTTTTGGTGTTTGTTCATGTAGTACGATTGGTTCCTTTTCAATCTGGCCAAGCAAACAATCTAGCCAACAAAAGTACATAAAGCACATGCCAAAGATGAGTGGAACACATGCACAGCGGCCAAACGCTTTGCTGTTGAACTACCGCCCAGCTACCATACAGGTGATCAGCTATTTGCAGGGTCGCAGGTTCAGGTTGCACATTGGACGATTGAATTGCCTAACCAAACCCGAACAAACCTGAAATATACCTGGTACCCCTGAAGAGTGATAATTATCACTCCGTTTTGTACCTGGTACCCCTGAATTGAGTGATAATTATCACTCCGTTTTGTAATTATCAATCTTTTGGACAGTGGTGTGACAAAAAGCACTCCGGAGTGAGAATAGTTGCTCCAGAATGGCTTTTGTTGCTCCGCGACGTATCTTGAACGCAAAGCGAACGTTAAGTCTTTGGGAGGTTTTAATACAGCCAATAATATGTTCCTCCAAGCACAATCATCTTCGAGCAAGCAAGCAATATTATGGGACATTACCATTGCACATGTGTCCGTTTCCTAGCAGGTCCAAGGACTGAATACACATGTTCGGATCCCTTGAAAGTGAATCAAATCTGAGAATTCCATGCTTTCCCACCAAACAAAACTTAAGACACTTGGCACTCAAGTTCCCAGCTTTGCACAGCGGAACCACAAACCCGGAACCGCATGCGTGTTTCAGCATAGCCTTCCGCATCGCTCGCCACCGACCTTCTGCCCCAGGCACGCTTCAAGTCCCTGGACCGCCCCGGGCATTTGTCCCACGACCTGTGCCGCACGCAGCACCACGGGATCCAAATCGATGGCCGTCACCTTGGCCTGCGCCGCGCCCATGCGGGTGTGGGTGGATGGCAGAATTTCTGATGCTTTTTGAGGTGAACATACTACGTCTATCCACGTGGAACGGTGAAACTTGGAGCTCCCAAGATCCAAGAGTCGTTCTGTTCAGGGTATATTTCTGGAAGGGCTTTTCGGGAAATACAATGAAATACATCTCTTCATATCGAACACATGTCTCTTCCAATCTCGTTTACATGGCTTCTCAAGAAAGAGCCACACAACTCCTCGTAGATGGTCGACACAAAGAACCATGGGGGGATGTTCAACGGTCATAGTTCGGGGTGGTCGGTCTTGAGTGTCAAAACCCTCCTGCGCACAAGGATCATGTGTTCGAAATCCGGCATCCATTTCAAAATCCAGCATCCGTTGAGTTCTTCATCGGTGCTTCACCTTGGTACCTTGGCTCCTTCATCCTTTGATCCCGCAGGCGTTTCGGGGCTTTGTTCTTCATCCATTCCCGCCTCTCGCGCGTGCACAGCCGCGCCGTTTCGTGCGCCTGAGCCTTCCGAAACCACCCGGGCAGCGCACCCAGGCCCACGCCCAGCAGCAGCACACGCCAAGGTTTCTGCACGCCCAACGACCGCAGCGTGGCCGAGCCCATGGCTGCTAAGGACTTCCTCGGACGGCGAAGGGTGTTTCAGGAAAAGCATGGTCATTGGATGCTTTCTTCCGCCAGCAAATTGTGCTTTTTGCTTTTTGGGCTGAGCCACTGAGCTCTCTAGACTCTAGTTTCATTGGATGTGGGATAGGTGAGCTCCTTTAAAACTGTTGACCTTCAGTAGAGAAAACAATTCTGCAAAAAGGTCGCTTGAAAGGTTGACTGACTCGTTGAGTAATGTAACAAAAACCATCCCGTTCCTCTCAAAAATGACTTGAACCCCTCTGTGGTTTCTGGAGTTTGAGGGATCTGGAGTGTCTGGGTCAAAAAAGTATACCCCGCTCCTGGAGCCCGACCAATCCACCACGAATTACGAAAAGACCTTCCACCAAATAGGTCAACCATGGTCAACCCCTTTTCATCTCCTGGTGCCACAGCCATGTTCTCCCACCTCCGGCAAATCGGTTCGGTGGGCCAGGGGTGGATGTTTGCGGGTGGGCCACCGCCACCGAACCTGAGGAGATGGGACATGATGGGACAGGAGCCCCTGATGGGTCTCTTTCAGAACCATGCGAAGAACCGTCCGAGGATGTCGCCCCCGGAGCGTCGCGGAGCTTCGCGGAGCTTAGCGGATGCGAAGCTACCGTGTCACATCCGACGACGAACTCTGGCAAAACCAGCACTTTTCGATCAGGTGCAGTGTTTGCTCAGACTTGGTTCATGTGTTTAGATGGATGTTACTATGTTCTTTCTTTCAGGGGTCCTGCTAGAACTCGTGAACTTGATTTCTCAACAAATGGACCAATTTCGATGCCGTCCTGCCGTGGCTCAAATAGCCAAAGGCCAATGCTTCATGTCGCGGGATACCATTGGCATCCAGGAGCAACACGCCTTTACTCGCAAAGAAAACTGAGGATTTATATAATGATTTACAACAGGACTCTCTTAGAAAGAATCTGCTTGGCCAATGGCTTGAAGGGAACCAGTTCAGATTTATGAGGATTTTGTTCTGCCTTTGTAGGGATGTAATTAGTGTTTGGTTCATAGCGTCTCTTCTCCTCCCTTCGTGATTGATTGCAAAGCCACAGAAAATCCCAAGACTTCCAACTCTAGCTAGCCATTTCAAGGTTCAAAACCCGATACACCCAAACCACTGCCTTCATCACGAGGGAAAACAGCAAAAACCACTTAAGGTGGTTTGTTCAGAGCTCATCAAAAAAAGCTTCTTCTACCAGGGCCTCCTAAGGGGTGGTTAATGGATACCACTTAACCGACTTAACCTCTAAGGAGCTATAATTAGACACCCCAAACAGGGGGCCTTGGTATAGGGCTCGCAGTCGTACCGAACCTCAAAAGGTGGCACCTGGATGGCACCTGGACGGGCGACAGGTCTGTCCACCGTGTATAGCGAGCGAGTGAGTGAACCACCGACACCAGCGCTATAGGTCAACCACGTTTCATCTCCTTCCGGTGCCAGTTCCCCACAGAGTTCCCCACAGAGTTCACTGAACCTCAAAAGGTACGAACGGAGCCCGAACGAACGGAGCCCACACCCTCAACTGTACTCCTTCAGTTTCCGAGGATAAAGGTTTATCCACTGACGTAAGTAGGGTTCCCTCCGCTCCCAAGGATCTTCACACCCAGCCGCTCTGCTCCGTCTGCCCATTAAAGCGCAAGCGCCGCCAGCTGCCCCCGCTGGATGCACCACAGCCGGTGACCTGGCAGAATGGGTCACGTGGGCAAAAGCCGAGACGATATGAGACGATGGATGTAAAGATATGTATAATTTTTCCAAGGAGAACCTCCTGAGACTTATATTCCAAACCTGGTGGTTGATAATATGGGTAAATATTCAATGGTTCGTGTCGATAGGGCTGCTTTGGGCCGCTGTGATTTACGCGGTTTGGCTGGACCACCGGGTAGAGTGCCGACGGTGCCGTTGTCCCAGAATGTCTCAGACCATCCATGTACTGTATACAGTACATTTATATATGTATATATATATCGTATATATATATATAAGTAGTTTATATATGCGTTGTTGCCTGGCGGCTTTGTGTTTTTTTGAAGAACCTGATGGTTTCCTGGCATGATTGTTCCGATTTGAATGCTTCTCACAGGCTCAGAATCTGCAGTCGTTTCTCAAGGACTTTCTGCGTCCCGTACTTCGTTTTGGTATGCGGCAGTTGTTGGTTTATACATCCGGTTTACTTCGTCTCAGTCGGTTTGGTCAGGTGGACGATCTTTCCTCCGATTCGAGAGATTGATTTTTGGGTGGACCTGTTGCATTCTCCGGCTGTGTTTTGCTCGGGTTCCTTGCAGTGACTTGGTGGTCTGGGCTTGCTGGGATAGGGTGACAGAGCAAGACAGGTGGCCGCTCAAGTTTACAGCACTTGAAGAGCTCTTTGGCCAGAAGATACGGTTTCCTTTGTAATGATCCTTTTCTGAAAACACGTTGCACTGGTTTCCAAAGCGGCTCACCCCGCGAATCGCTTGATGTGCACCGACCTGGCTTGAGTCTGGGAGCGACTGTGGCACAGGCTGCGAAGACAAAGAAGTCACATGTTTGATTGCAGAAGTACAAGAGTTGCCATCAGAAGCGAGAAGCGGAGTTGCAGGCATGCAGCAAATTGATAGAGAGTGGCTGCAACTCAAGAGCTTCTTGTTTCACGAACTTCATCTGATGTCCCAAATATTGGGGGTGTAACTCCGATGTGAACTCACGTTTGAAGATGATGGAAGCTACGAGTCGACCAGTACATGTATACTGACATCCTACTGAGTGCATGCGGGAAAGCTCACCTCGACTCGTTGAAAACTCTTCTTTTTATACCTGGTATTCCATATGACAAGTTTTGTAATTATTCCTGTACAAATTCAAACGGTTGCCTATCGATCCTATAGGTCTCAGTGTCCGAGTGACAAAAAGCGAACCGCCGCCGACAGAGGCCTCTAACCAGGGCCCGCCCGGGTTGGGCGTCTGAATCGCCCCCTAAAAGAGGCACCACGGTGGTTCAGGGTGTCCACTTCTTCCAGGGGATCGTTGTAGTCACATCTATAATCTATACTGGACTGTGCTTCAAACCCAAAAGCTGAGTGACCCCTGTTTGAGAGTGCCTTTCCCATCTAAAGCATGGGGCCTTTCCCATCCTGTTTCCATCAAAAGCAGGCTTTTATCATAAACTTTTATCTCAATTTGTTTTTGTCTCGTGGATGTCACTTCTGTGAAATGTGGGACACGATGGTCCTCACTTGCCTGTCGTGAGATCTTCTGCTACATGTATCTGCAGGTACCCCGATGAATCAAAGGGCCCATTCGGGTCTAAGAGTATACCTCAATTCAAAGAGAATCCAGTCCGGAAGATCTATAATTCGCACATCTTCTTTCCGCCAAAATCGCTTCCCTTCCACCCTGCCCTAAACCCTAAACCCTCCACCCTGAGCCACCCTGCCCCGCCCTCCCTCCCCCCAAAAAAGGAGACGCCTGCACTCGCCCGCTGAAGGGGCTCTGCTCGTCGAAGAGGCTGCTGCCGCTCCCTGTGTCCCATTCGCCACGCAAAGCCGAGCGCCCTGGGTCCTGGGTCCAAAAAATTAAGGGGTCCGGTCTGACCCAGGAAAAGCTCATTGATAGTGTTTGTTTGGTTCTTCTTTAATTTATTCCTGACTCCAGTAAGATTAGATCATTCACTGACTGGTAAGGGTTCTTGAAATCCATCTGAAAAGTCGCTGACTTGGGCTGACAAGTCAGCTTGCATCCCTCTTCCACGCTGTTTCTTTCTTTCGGATCTCCTCTTGGTCCAGCTCGGCCAAAGACACCGCAGATCTCCACAGCTTCCGAGCTCTGTCCCACCGAGAACGCGCGCCACGTGTGGCTGCCAGTGCCAGAGGCGCGGACGTGAAACGTGCCAGGTGTGCCTTGGCTTGGTAGGTCCATGATTGGAGGTTGTGACTGACCCAGCATCCTTGGAAAAGCAACAGTAATAGTTAATTCTACAACCGTTTTTCCCAGGACCTTCAAAACGACCTTTTCATCTCAGAATGAGAGGCCACAAACAAAGACTCCAGTTCGAGGTCACGAACGGCTCAGGTCCTGGTCCCCCTCCAGCGGTTCCGCTGGAATGTTTAGCCCCTACAAGGGTGGATCCTTCGGCATCCCGGAAACCCTCCGAAGTTCGGCATGGCACCCAGTTCCGTTCGGAACTCCTGGCTTCCCCAGAGGTTGAAGGACCCTATAGACTGTCCCATAGGTACCCCAGTAGGGTCCTATAAGGTCACTTAACCTCTGTTGGAAGGTTCAAGATGCGGGGTGGAAACACAGCTGATCGGATGGGGTCAAAGAGGGAGGAACAAGCAAAGTTGGTGCCAAGATCAAAGAAATATGGTGATGATGCGTGTCTTTCCTTGTTCAATTTGTTTGTAGACATGTGGATGATGTTTTTCGCTTCCACCAAACCATGATGGGCTTTGAACGTGTTGTTCCTCCTTGGCTGAGCTGGTCTTGGCCCATAAGAAATGGACCTTCAGTTCGTGACCTCTTTGGAGTCTCTAAGTGGCTTCTTAAGGCCTTAAGGCTCTAAGTGACCTCAGCCACTGAGATCTCAAGGACAGTCGCTTTGAAGGTCCTGGTGATCATTATAGATTGAACACTCGAACTTGTGCCTACTTTTTATCACTGCTGATATTCCATCTCCTCTTGACTATGGGTTTACCTTGCCTTGAGAATCCCAATCATCAGCTTGACCCCATCTTCATCTGCCAAGCTTCAGGGAAACAGAGTTGGAATGAAATCAATGTTTGCTGAAGACAACGAGAGCCTAACCACTGTATCATCTGCACGGTAGTGAAAAGTGACAATATGTCCATATCCTGTATCCATGCTGTTTAGCTGATCCATTTCCAAGTGAAATTAGTCCTTTTCTGCAAGTCCCTTGGAGACGTACAAGATGTCCACCTCATCCCACGCCCATCCTGAAAAAACACTGATATACCCTCCATATACCCTCCCTCCCTGGAATCTGAACTGTGGGACCTTACTTGGTCACCGGAGTCTGAGGGCATGGCCACCACGTAAAACCACACATGAACCTCACCAACATGAGGCTTCCAGTCTTGGGAGTGTAAGAAATCACTCGCGACTCGTTGCAGGCCCCGCCCCAGGCCCCGCTGCCTGGACCCGCGACTCAGCGCTCCATCCGCCGCTGGGGGAGTGGTGCTCCAACGGCGCGCGGGAGTGAGGCACCAGGCGGGGTGGCAGGCGCCATGTGCATGGGATGCGATCCATGGAAGGTCCAAACATGTGAGAAATGGCCGGTAGGTGAGTCTGGGTGGGGATCCTTTTTCTTCACACATCGTGGTCCGTTAGTTCTTCCAAACTGGAGTTGATACAGCATCACCTGAGAGATGTCAACGTTCCGCAGCTGTCCAGCCCCCCCCTTAAAAAACATATAAACACCAAGTCGGATGATCCCTTTTAATAAACAAAGTGCGAGAGGCCCAAGTGTGAATACGGCTGTCGAATCTGAAGAACCATACCGCCAAGCGGGCGGTTCTTGGAGACCCATTGCATGCCCATACCAGCACCCTCCGACAGGTCACCAATGGTTCGACCTGTTAGGGTCCTTCCCAACCCTCAACTAACAGCCTGGCCAGGAGGGTGCTGGTATAGGCATCGAAGGGTTCCAGGTATCTCCGGATCGACCGGAGAGGAGAGAACGCTTCCGAAGGGTCTTGCAGTGGGACAGGAAAGGACCTAAAGGGATGAACGCATCCGGTTACCACTGGACGAAGAGGGTCAATCTCGGATTTCCTGGGCTTGTTTCGACGCAGATCGGCGCAGATTTCTGTGCGCTGCGCTCTGGCCACAGCAAGATGCATTGCAACGAGTTTCGATATGTGAATCGATCTTGGGACTTCGTTGAAGTGTGCTGAGGTTGCGTGACTCTGGAAGTCTCAAGCACCAGCACGAGCATGTAAAAAGCAGCGGAATTAGAGCAGCAGAGTTGCGGGAAACAAAACTGGGAACGAAATATAGGAAATGGTAGGAATACAGGAAACACCTAATTGGTGTTAGATGACACCCAATTAGTGTCATGGTGTCATGGTGGAAATACTAATGGTAGGAAAACAACATAGATGACATTAACATGACACTCATGACACCTTCCACGCATCACTCTATCAAAGTAGCCCTTCGGTCCGTTGTGAGAGATGACTACCATCCACCCCACAAGGCCGTGGTTCGGATGATGCAGGATCTTTGGAAGATCAATTGGATCACCCCGTCTGCTTTACCCCGTGGAAGACGGTCCCATGGACCCAAACCGAAAACCGTCTGACTAAGGGTGCCAAAGCTACAGTCCATGTTAGATCACCTCAAGCTGTAGAGTGCTTTGGAGCTTCAGAGTGTCTTTGCAGACGGTGGGGAAAGGTGCCAAGAAAGAAGACCTTCAAAAGGCAGCTCCTTAGAGCCACATCAAGAGATCGCCGGCATTACATGCCATGCACACTCTCGAAACTCACATGGACCCTTCGCGTGCTGGCCCCCTGGGTCCGATGGTTTTCCTCTACCAATAGTTGGTGGTTTTGAGGTGCCATGTGAATCTGCAGGGCAGGGGAGCCAAATGAATGACACAGAAGTGGCGAACACGTGGCCCCTCCCATTAAGCTCCACGTGCACATGGCGAGAGGAACATGTGCGCCCTACATTCCCAGGAGCGATCATGCTTACGGATGACCATGGAAATCCGAATACCAAACAGGTGGTGAACTCTTTCTTGACCCTAACACTCAATGGGACTGCCATACATACAAACATTGGGGTGGTTTATCCTGTGACCTGTGGTCCATGAAGGCATCAATTCCAGTCCCCTTTTCTTGGGGTGATGATATTAACATACCCGTTTGGCCTCCAGTCGTACCTTCGAAGGTGGGACTGGAGGTGGGTGGATGGATTTGGAGGATCCAGTCATACCGAACCTGAGAAGCTACGACGAAGTCGGTGTAAGGATATATTAACCACCATGCTATTAATCCACACCTTCTTAACCACCTAGTGGATAGTCGGTGGATTAATACCTTCACTTAACCATTATTAATCCACCTAAGTGAAGTGCCATGCTGCCGGGTCCGGGACTTCCGAACCCGGACAGTCCGAATCCTCGGCGTTCGACCCGTTGGACCCGTGGAAGAGGTGGAAGCAGTTCCGACCAAACCAAAACGGTGGAAGCAGGCGATCCACTTGGTCCTGACGACCGGGGGTTTCAGTTCTGGTATATGTTCTATAGACCATATAGCTTGGGTTGATCCTAAGACCTAGGCCCAGTGGATGATGATGGTTGCAGGCCGACAGTTCAAAAATAGGGATTTGCTTGTTTACTGACTCTTACAGGTAAGAACGGACAAACCCAACATATAAGATCATATAGGCTTCTCAGTCAACTTGCGCCCAACCCGTTTGGAGTCACGAGTGATCAATTCTAAACCATCCTTTCTTCAAACTATATGATTGTCGTCCGGGCCCTCGTCCGGGCGCGTTGTGGCGTTGTGGGGCAGTCCGTCTTCGGCACAGGAACTGACCTAATGGATCCACCCAGAACCGGATCCACATACCTTCTAAGAGGCCCCTTTTTTATGCCGGAGGGTGATTGTGTACATGCTGAGAATAAGGTATGTGGATCCGCCATAGAGGGTGTAGCTCCAGTTGCCCGAGCGGATCTCCCACCTCTGTCAGGTGTTCCTGGCAGGATGCCATCAGGCCGGATTTTTTTGGGCAGTGAATGCCCCAAATGCTCTACCATATGAGATTTGGTTGCGCTGATTGAGCCAATCAGAACTTCAATGATAAACATGGACCGCAAAGCGATAATTTGATGTCTGTAGGGCAGTCCTTCTGCATCGTACTTGTCAAGTAGACACTGTCATGAACCGGACACTTCCCCACAGGTACTCTTGCTCAAACATTGCTTTCGCCAAGTCCCCAAACATTTTTCTACACTATTCCATCTCACTTTGGTAGTGCGATGTAATCAAGTACAGACTGGATGTGTAGCATGCATCAGCCTCATCATCCGCATACTTGCAATATCCAATCAAGGACCCGGGTTTAGCCTTGGCGGCTGTTCCCTTCATGTTGAGGAACACCACTGAGGATTGGTCGAACTAGGGCCCCTCGCCCTCAATGATCTCTGCCCAGATCCCAAGCTCAAATATCCACATCAGTCTAGCCAACAAACTCTTGACTTCTCAGTGCTTCAATTCCAGTGGTTTCAGAGGTTCGATGGCACCTGGCACCGAATACATCCGGGTCCATATCCCCAAACCCCCACGTTCGTCGGGATTTGGTCATCTACTCGTTCCGCTACTGTATATTGAACAAACTATCCATTACTGTTTGAAGACCTGTGGGCTTGAATCCTTGTTTCTTTTCACCATCCCAAGTTTTAAGTCAACTGTTGCTGAGGGACCTGCTGGGCCGAACTTCCATGCACAGAAAACATTGTTAATTTGTTGATCTTTTTTGTCCCCCAAGAATCCGGGCCATCAAATGGACAGGAACTGGAAGCGTGTGAAGGTCCAGAGTCCAAACCCCTGTGAAAGTGCCGGGTCCAACCCCTACCAAGGGAGGGTCCAAACATGTTTGTGTCTAGAATCAGCTGGGGGAGCTGGGGCACACGCTTCCAGTTCCAGATCGAACGGGGAACACTTTGGGCACAATCCAACTTCTGCTCCTTCTCACACCGAAATGACACAAATGACGCAAACGCCCCGCACCCAACGCAACAATACGGCGCCTGGCGCGCCCGGAATTCACGCAGGCTGTCACCGCCATGGCGTTTCGTGTTCACATGGCGTGCATGTATTTCCAGTAGGGAGACCTCCCAGGCGTTCGGACCACGCTCTTCAGGCGTTCAGGACTGGCCCGGGATCGACCACGATGGGTGCATCAAACCATGTGGAACCGACCGTAGACCTGGTTGAAGCATTTTTGCATGTCCTACCCCGTGGCACACCTGGAGTTTATATTGGTTACTTCAATCTATATCCCAGACCATCCATGAATGGAATATCCATGTTCCCCATGAAAAGAGCTTCGGTGTAGTTTTGCTCTATATATGTGTCTATTATATCTACGGAACATTACGGAACATGTTCCTGACCTACTTGGGCTGCTGTTTGCCACCAATGACAAGGATGAAGAAACACATGCTCTCCAACTAGCAAGCAGCGTCAGGGGTTGGGGAACTCCCAGTAGCTCCGGCTGCGGCTCCCTGTTCGGAAAGAGGTGGATACCCATGAGACCCGCCGGAAACTTGGATCGCTCCCTCCAGATCGCACCAGCGATCGCCAAGTTCCTGATTCTAGTGCTTCAACGTCCAAGCTGAAGAGCTGCTGATGAGTACAACTAGTCCAGCATCTCGTCTGATGGATCTTGTATCAATGCGTGTCTTGGATATGTCTCTGATGAGGCACCAGATCTTTCTCCAGCTGATTCAAGGGAAAGTCTCCAAGATTTTTGGATGCAAGAAGTAAAATGAAGTAAGGCCTGCTTGGATTCCAAGGGTGTTTTCTACACCTCGAGACTGGCAAAGTCAACAGGACAGGACGCTTAGCCTCCTGAGCAAGGCCACATGCAGGCTTTCGAGCAAACCAGCGAGGCTTCTCTATTTAAAGAACCTTGGGTTAGGTTCAAGATTTGGATTTGTGAAGGCCCGCGCATTCCTGATTAAACTAAGTGGAGGTATCTCCGCATCAATCCCTGAACTATGGTTCGTTCATTCCTCTTTGGATCGACAAACGACTGTAAATGGATCGCACTGCTGCAGCTAGAGTTTATTAATGGAATCATTCTCCAAATGCACTCCCGAAATGCACTACATAGCGCCCAAAAGCACAGTTGTCTTTTGGATTAAGAACAGTTGAGCTAGCAAATCAACACAGGATATCTCTGGATTCCCCCACCGTGAGAACCCGAGAGAATTGATCGACCGTGCTGCATCCTTTTTGAAGTTCAACAGTTCAATGACCCAAATGGCATTCCTCCACTCCTCCAAGAGGATGAAACGAAAGCTGTGAGCTGCTCTGACCCATTCAACCCATTCTCTAGCAAGTCCAAAGATTGGAAAATTCCCCTGAGACAATCATGAAGTGGGCTGGCATGGCCCCTAGAAAACTAGAAAGACAATTTTCACTGTACAAACTGGGGGTTGTCCACTTCCATGTTAGGGTCACCTCCCCACTCCCCACACCCCCCTGTGCCGTACACCTGCTCTAGTGGGTCCACGAGCACCTGTCGGCCTC